CTGACTACTTTGGTTGGCACTACATACGCAGCAGCCACCGGCGGCTACTTAGACAAATGGCAAAGAGTCTGCTTTCTTCATTGGATGACGGCGTATGTGCCGTTAACTGACTCTTGACGGCGCTTGCGTGTGTGTGTACAAAAGAAATGTTGAGAGCATAGTTACGCGGGCGTCATTGGCCGAAGCATATCCTAGCTAAGGTACGTGTATTGAGGCAATTGGAGCAACCACGAGATGGAATCCCTGGCCAGAATGCAGTCACCATCACAGCCCAGTCAGATCCATCATGTAACTGCTATGCCGTCTTCACTTTTGCCGAAAGCAAGTCTGATGTTTGATAGTATACCGTTATAGGCAAGTCCACAAATGCAGACTTTCAGAGCAAAACCCTCAAGCCGAAGGAACCGCGCCGATGTTACCCTGAACTACGTACATCCACGTCCAAACTACTGAAGTTCGGTCATCAAGTAGGCAGAGTATAATATGTAATTCTTCATGAACAACATTTGAGACGAGCTAGCAGGGTGCATGCGCTATTCAGACCAGCATTGGATTCATAAGCAAAGATATAACTTCATTTGGAAAATGTATTGCGTAGTCTGATGCATAGTGTAACTACAGTCTAACTGCTTACTCTACTACGTACGTGCTTGCTGACTAGGCTTTGAACTTATAAATTGATTAGTCAAGTTATCGTAATATAACGAATGGAAGTGTGGTAGGAATGGGTAATTTGCTATTGGTACTTGAAAACTGAACAGACAGCACGTACGTAAATACGCTCGGACCCTTGTATCCAAGTCGACGCTCAAACCAACGTGTTTGTCATTATTTGCATTGCATATACGCAGGGACGAGCTGGAATGGCGAAATACCATGCACGTTTTAGACTTCCAGTGACAAGCTGTATCAGCCAAATTAGTCGAATTATGCGTCATTAACCTGACTAGTCATGATTTGTCCACTTTACGTAAGATAGCTCCCCAGCGGCTAACTTGACAGGGATCGCCCTTAGTACATTCTTGTTGTCTATTTTTAGATGAAACAACGTTCGTTCAGCGATGACTTTGTGCATTTATCCCGAGACACAGAGCACAGCATAGCATGGTGACACAGGCAGATGGCTGAAGATTAAGATGGCTACCACGGAGAATTGCTAGATTACTCGATGATAACATACCATCATACGAAAATGAGCATAGACGTAGTATAACATTAGTTATTCAGACCCTTGCTGATCAGGATCTTCTGGTAGACTAAGCCTAAAATAGCCACTCAAGTCGATTCGCAACGGTTCGCCTGTCGATTCTGGATTGGGCTGGCAGACAGCCAACCAACGATCTCTGAAGAAGCACAAGATTTTGCTGCTGGCCACGTGTCTCAATGACTAGGCAAGGTAGCATAGGCAAACGTGGTGGTATGCATGTTTTCGCGTGGAGGTGGATACGCCGGCTCATAGAATTTGTATATGCCGAGATCACTCCGGCATAGCATGAATAGCTAGGAGGAGTTGTGTCGTACGTAACTGACATTACCGATTAGTTAGTTAACTTAACTAAAGTAGCTGACAAGAAGAAGATCGCTGATGTTGTTTTGATTATTGATCGGCGCCGCGGCAGCAGTGGAACGAAGTGCGTTGGAATTTGAGTCGGCGAATTAAACCGAGTAAGCATGTATGCATAGTCAGCCACGCGCACATTACCCCTGTCGCTATTGGGCGCCACTATCTCCCCGACTCCGCTGTACGAATTCCGGCGGGCGGCCCTTAACTTTGATCCCCACCCACACCCTCTCCTCTTTTCTTTGGCGATACGATGCTCCACATCGGCCCGCTGATAATGTATGTGTGTGTATGTGATCTTCGATGTTGATCGGGCGTTACTGCTGTTTGTGGAAGTCTTCCAGAACAATAGATGGCCATGTGATGTGCTGCATCATGCATATACCAATACGGAGTAGTATACCGCTGTCGTTCGCGGAGTAATTCTTCTTGGTTCATGATTCATCTACGTTCGACGATCTTGGTGGTTAATGTCTTATTAAATATTTATTATGCAATCAGGTAGGCAAGTTGCGTAAGTAGTCTACAGATTTGCCTGACGAATCATTCGCAGTCGAGAGCTATTTTTCAATTGATTTCGTTCCTTTACTGGCGGGAAGGATTTTTGGTTGCATTTGCTAGATCTTGGCCATTGTCTTATCGAGTCATGATACGTACTTGCGTATTTACATGCAGACAGACCGAGCCAGCTGGGCACTCCACGCCATGAATGATCCAACCTGGTTTAACTAGCCCATAATGTATTTCCCTAGTAAACTGGCCACCCGCAATCTCCAAAATAACATTTTTCACCCCCCTAGAAATCCCACAATTTTATATATAAACTATATCTATAAATTGAATATATATTATAATATATATAAAAGAACATATTTCTAGCTTTAAAAGGGTTTAAAAATATTAAGAACCCTTCTGTACTGAAAAATACCATAATTACTAGTGTAGTTTCTTATTTCTAAAAATTGACTTGATAGATTCTACTAAAAATCTAATATATAGAATAAATTTATATAAATATTATATATAATCTTTTTGAAGTACTATTTATATATAAATTTGTGGAATTTACGGGTGATTCAAAATGGCTATTTGTATGGTGATTACGGGTGGCCGGTTTACTACGGAAATACGTTATCTTTGAACACGGAGTATGTACTCAGTGCTCCGTACCGCCCCTTTGGCATGCCCATTTTTCTTAACTATCACAAACGCGCGCATTTCTGCACGTGAAGTAGCTAGCGGCTGGTGATCCTCGCCACATTGCTTCTTTTGTACGTGATCGTCAGGTCTTCGTTACATTCGACGATTCTGCGCAGAATATTCTGCCCAATTGCTTCGACAATCAGCGCACTAGGAACCTTGGAAGACATTCCAGAATAATTCTAGGTTACTTTTCTGTTTCTTTGTATTTTTTCACAATTCCCGCATTGTACAGAATATTATGTGTATTCTGTATCAGGTAAATATAATCTACATCCACCAATCTATAACTATTCTGTAACCACAATACTGTATTCGTCATCGATATCACAAAAAAATATTATTTTGACTCCTTGCATGTCACCCTCCAACCTAGAAGGCTTCCTTCGAGCTTCTAGCTGAAGTTTAGGCATGATATACGCACTTTTCTGTACGGGGTATCGTGCTGTTGGATGATAAGCTACACAGAGCCATTGACTTTCTGGCGATCCGACCACGTTGGCCCAGACTAGTGAGATTAGACCGCATACGTTTTACTAGTCATCGACTGTGTTGGTAGTACGTGAACTCGGTGTGCTGATTTGATTGTAATAGTATCGCTCAAGTCATCCGTGATCTGGTAAAGCACATGTACCCGCTTGCTGATCGTAATTATTTTCTTGATGGTACTAGGCTACTAGCCCTAGGGCTTTAGTGAAATCCTCAGTTGCATGCATGCACCATGCATTATTGTCAGCAAGCTGAATGAAGCTACCAACACCCGGTCTGAGTTCTAACTCTATTCAGCTGATTTACCGAAAATTTTAAACAGATGGACACTGGGATTATAGCTTAGGATTGCCATGCTAGCGACATGTGGTTGTTGGAGTGTCAGCTCAAAATATATCAAAGTAGACGAAGACAACCAGAGTAACGCATAGCACACAGGGTACATGCGCGCGTTATCTTTTAATTAATACCATGTTGAACTTACGAAGGAATGATCAACTGCCTAGTTATTTTTTGTAACCCACTAATTAGATACTAGCAGGTAGGGGTGGTAAATTTGACCTACGCACGTAAATAATGGCTAATCAAGTTGATCACTTCGGGCATGCTGACCAGAGAAAACGAAACAATTACTAACAAATTTCTCATGTCGGCATTGATGACTCTTTGATGTCCTTCTCACATAACTAGACATCCCTCGAATGATACTTGTCATCCATATACATTAATAATTATGCATATTAATGCGTCATCATATAGCACACTATACATCTTATGTGCATCCTTTGAGAATACATGACGCCGATGATTTGCATTGCAAAAGTGTTGCCCACAGTATCATTTGCGCTTGAAACGATAATGCAATCTATGTGTACCAATGCTGCATAAGGTTACATTGGACTTGGGGAGCGCTTCATGGATCATTTGTTGGACCTCGAAGAGTGTGTATGTGATTTCAATTATAGTCTGTTGTAGGCAGCCACGCAAGAATCGGTCTTCTGATGTATACACGAGCAGTGGTTTTGACTTGAATTACTTTGAATCTCTTGCCCCTTCAACCATCAAGTTAATTGTGTGGTTGCTATTCAATATCATCTTCGGTTGTTTTGTACATTTTTTCTAGAGTTGTGGTACAATTATGATACCCTTCTCGGAACCAGGAGGCCAATGTCTGTATGTTCGATGAAAGTCATCCTGGGGTGTACCTAGGCGCCTGAGTAATGAGCAAATTGGCTTTCTATATCAACGATATATACCTAATTAGCCAAACTAGCGCAAAGAGAGGGAAAGGCAGGCAAACCAAACATGAACATCGTTCTGCTATGCAAGGACATGCTGAACTCAATTGACTTCTTGACAGCTTAGCAGCAAACTTGGGCCGCGAGACGGTCTGTACAGCCACTTTTATAAGAAAAATGATATCATCGTAGGGCTAGACTGCTGACATCACCAACAGCTTCATTGTTTAAGCCTCCTGAGATAGAATTATGTATAGCCACCCAGGTGCCTTAGCTCCATCTTCAAACGAAACAACAGCCATTCGACGATTGCTTTGGTTACAAACATAAAGATACCACATGACATAATATAGACATAAAAAAAGAAAAGGAAATGATCCTTCACTCTTCAGATATTCTTACCATGAATTCATCAAGGTAGGATAAGTACTTGTCCTATGGGACTTCTCCTCTCTAGAGACGAAAATATTATTGGTAGTCGACACATTGACACAACTCAAGTGTTGATTCACCTAAGCGGACTTTTCTTCCTTGTCAACAGGAGCGGTAACAGTAGCGGCGCTGGATTCGATATCCTCCGAGCTGACAGTCCCCTTCTTGCCGACGAGACCTTTGATGGCGCCCACCGAGAGGTTCTCGTCAAGTGCATACATGTACCAGTAGTATGTCCCTATATGGCTCAATCAGTGTTCCTGCAATTCAACTTCGAAATGACATGGGGGACGCACCGCAAAACAATCCTCCTCCAATGATATTACCAATTAGGGCCGGAATGATACCCTTCCAGATATACAAACCGACCGAAATACCGGGAGCATTCAACCAGATAGCCATCGGAATAAAGGTCATGTTCGCCACAACATGATCGAATCCTAGAGACACGAAGGCGAAAATGGGCATCCAGATGCCGATAACCTTGCTAGCGAGGTCGCGGCCTTGAATACCAAAGAAGCATGCTAGACAGACGAGCCAGTTGCAGCCAATTCCACGCAGAAATATCATCTGCCATTCTGGAGTGACCTGCTTCTTAGTCGCGAAGTTGATGACCTCGGTACTGTAAGGGGCAGCAGAGAGGATATCGCCATATCCGAGGATGATGGATACCATGAACAGCGACCCAGCCAAGTTGCCTAGAAAGGTGAGGACCCAGTGAGTCAACATTTTGTACCATGAAAGACGGCGCTGGAGAACCGCCAAGGTGGTGAACTAATCAAATACTTTTAGTAGAAGGACCACGACACCGAGAGCAAGAATTGGAACCAACCATGAAAGAGCCAGTACACAGATCAGCGCCGGTCAAGATGATCATGCACAAACCATAAGGGAAGACCAAGGCGCCAATAGTACGGATCAGACCGGGAGCATTTTCTTGCCACCAGGGCGCAGTGTTTGTGCTGAGCACGGTAGCACAGGCAAACGCGAGCATGCAACCAGCAGAAACACCGCTGAAGAAGACTTTGTCCAGGCGCATATTTCCCTTGCGTGCACCCGTGGCAGTGATCATCTCCACCACCTCGACGGGCGTGAGGGCGTTCACACTAAAGCTTGATGCCATTTTGATTCTTCCTTCGACCTTGGTTTTGGTTGACTAGAGAGGGAAAGAAAACAACAAACGTCTTCGGAGGCCGTATTTTGCCAACGAAACAAAGCCAAGGGCCAAGGCTTGGGGTCGGAAATTAATGTGACTGAATGCAAGGGGGCTTGAGTGCCTTTTATCTTCAGATGGAGAGATACAAGCTACCCCGTTCCCTCTTTGACCAGGCTTGTTCATCTCGTCGAAGATTTTGATCCAGAAGACAAGATAGCCAATCGTTTTGGAACAGATCTTCAGGACCAATTCAGCCCGAAATGATACAATTGCATTTCTAAGCTACTAGATATCAATAGTACTGGCCAATCCCGGGCCATCGTTTCCGGATTAGTCCTCCATCATCCAAATCCAGATCCAAATCCAAATATTGGGAAAAGAGGAGGCATTTGAATTTGATATGCTCCGATCGAAGATGGCGATCAAGTTTGCACGGGCCGGCAACCCTAAATACTAGTAAGTAAACCTAAAAGTCGGCCCAATTAGGGCTCTTTCTTCAGCCTCTATTTCCGTTATCTTTTTGACTGCTTGCCAAGTCTTCGTGCATCTCCGCGCGATACGAAGACGCTGTTCGGTCCGGCCAGTCAGGCTGCGCGGAGGACGGGTTTTGCTCTCGTAAACACCCAAGCAGCATTCTAGATAGATAGACAGCCTGGGCCGATCCATGTATGTTTCCCCGAGCATGAGATCTGGAGAATGGTCGCTGATAAGACTTCCTTCTGCCAATCGATGACTCCCTCCCTTTGCAGACTATTGTTTCTGCATCGATATAGTGTACTCCGGGGATTGTAGCATCTCTGCCCCTTTGCTATATGAGACCAATGTAATATCGACTTCGGAGTTTGTACATGTACCAGATAGCGGGAAAAGAAAAGAAAAGAAAAGAATGGAAAAGAAAGCTAGGATTACCTACGATGTCAGCAAGGAAGTCTGGAGTAGTAAACAAAAACAATCGAGGTAGTAAATAAGATCCTATAAGTGATCCATACCTAGGTAGAAAGCAAGCAACCGCTGAGGAAAGTCATACAAACGACTGAGTGTTCGTAGTTTTGGTTTGTAACAGTCGTAGCTACGTATAAACAGTCTCCGGCTTAGGATGGCATTGGCCAGGTAATACACAAACATTAGAGACATGATGCGACGTTTCATGCGTGCTTTGCCGGGATAACATATGAAACTCGGTTTATGCCAGTTCCTGCTCCAAATCCCTACGACTGGGAACAACTCTCCAACACCAACCACACCAGCTCCTTACCTGACCGGTTTCTTCGCGCCGCAGGTACTTGCCAGTCTCACGCTCATCCTCGTACTCTTCCACACAAGCCCCTACTATGACTCTCTTTTTGACCTTTTGCTTAACAACCCCGCCGATGCCGACTATCTCCTGTCGCAGATACCCCGGCTCATCATCATGCTGATGGCCATCGCTTCTTTCCCCGACAGCAATGCCATGCAATGCCGTGTGGCCATCTGTACGATCACCAAGATGACGATGATGATTATGGTGATGCGGAATGGTGATTTCTGATTCGTCCACCTCGCGATCTACTTCTAATTCAATCGCCTGAGCGGCAAGACAATTCTCTCCTTTCCCGCACTTCACACCCTGGCATCCTTCGCCGATTCCAGTCCCCAAGCCTGCGCCGAGGTACGCGCCATATCGGGTACGCCACGTCCAAACTCGTCTATACACGGTGTCGTTATTGCGCAACGAGTGGCCACAAGCCTGGCACAGCCAGATTGTATCTTCACATCGGCATGGAGTACGTGCGAAGGCGGAGTAAGTAAATGCTCGGGCACAAGAGGGAGTCGGCGGTCCTCTTTCTGGAGAAAGATGGTAAACATAGGGTGCAGCACAACACGAGGCACACAGGCGACGCAAGCGATTCTTCAGCATTGCGGCACTGGGGGGTTTGATCGTACAATTCTGTTCCCCCCTCCCCGACTCAGTTCAGCATAGGCATTTCAGTAAAGAAAATATTTTTCTCCGGACCTTACTGACCCGACATATCACCGTTGAACATTTCCGACACTCCCCCACCATGTCTCGAGCACATTTCCCGAGTTTACCGCTTGTAAGCCTGCCGACTTGATGACTATTCTGATCTCCATTGTCTTCGACACTTTCGTTCTTACAGCGTAGAGTCCGTTTGACCAGCTGGCTGCAAAACGGCATCAAATTGGCTCTATGCTGACGGCAGGTCCTCGACAAGGCGTCAAGACTATTCAGGTCTAGATATCGCGCGATTTCCGTAACCACCCTGTAGTCACCAGCCACACATTAGCACTGTGTACGGACGCGAGAAAAATGGTAGCAAAAGTGTAGCAAAGGTGACACTGGGTCGTACGGGTAACAGCCCAAACAGCGACTAAATGCGTTTATGTTCGGATTATCGAAGGCCAGCCCAGGCCCGGGCTTTGTGTAAAATGCCTTCACAGCCACGACATCTGTCTTGTTGTAGGAGTGTAGGATCGGATGTCGCGCGTCATCGGACGAATGCTGGTCGTAGTCGACAAAGACCACCATGCTGTCCCAAGGACGGTCTATCCACGCTGGATAGTTCAATCATATGAGCCCGGTGGCTTATGCGCGTTATATACCATTCGTAGTTCCTCGGTTTCACGTTGTTAAAGTCCGGAAGACGCGATCCCGCATTCAGCGTTCTGTATAGAGAAGGTGGGGCAGTGAGTCAGTACTACTGTGTATACCATAGGTACATCATACTCAAGCACCAACAGAAAAAGAAATGGCATTTGCTAGTGACACGAGCTTGCGTAGCTCAAATTAGTGACCTAGGCTGGTTTGTCTAGATTTATACACAAGCACCTACGGGCAAATACCAATGCTGCTAGCGATACAGTCATCTACCATGATCTAAATATACATAAATATCCTGTTGTTAGTATAATAAAATCAATGCCATAGTTCTATCTTGTACTTACTCAGAACCCTAGCCAATTAGGCTGTCCTAGGAACGCAGTCCAGTCCAATTGATCCGTATGACCATCTAGAGGAGCTTGTTGGAACATAACAGGATAGATTTCGGGTCGCATAGCAGCAAAACTATTCTGTACTCTATTGCGATACAGCAGACTCAGATCAGGGAAGTTTGCTGGCATCGGCATTGGAGGATTATCGGCCGCTATGTCCATATCGCTGTTGGTGTAGTCGGTGCTATCGTCCGGTGCATGCTTGGGGCCCCCTGATAGTGTGCGTCGGATATATGTGACAATTCTAGGTGGCGTCGAGGTCACACCGGATAGCTTGGAGGCTTCTTCGCAAGCCTCCCATGCTTGAAGGATAACTCTTGCGTAGATCTCATAAATTGGACCGATATCTGTACTCTGAGATTCAAACCAAGCGTCGTAGCTGTCGCTCAGAACCTCCCAGGCCAGAGAGACTTGCTTGGAAGCAGGTCGCATCCTCAAGTCTTGGGCAATTTGAAGATACGCTGGGAATGGGAAATAGAGACGATTTATCCAACGGAATCCTTTAGTGATAGGAGAAGTCATGATCTTCGTATCACTTTCAAGCATCCTGAGAGCAAGGGATGTGGCCGAGTCACGCTGCGCATCTGTCTGACTCACGGATGAGTTGTAGTATTTCACATGGTGCTCGAAGAGACGGGATTTAGCAATATATGCTCGCATTGTCCATATCGTCATGTAATGGAGTGGGTTCTCAGGATCGCAGAATTTGAGATACCGATTCTCAATTATCCTCTCCAACTGGTCCATCTCACCACCTTCTGAAGCAGAACCATTCTGGGAAATACTCGCCAGTGATTTCAAAGCTGGATTGGTAAAATTGAGATGCGCGAGAGTGTGACGAATATATTCACCGAGCTCGCTACGTAACACTGCAAAAAGTGCTTCCGTAGATACGCCTTGAATGGCAGGAGGCTCTTTCATATCTGGCCGAAGGTCGGAATCATTCACGTTGAGAGGAACCTTGCAGTCCCACGTGGGATCTAATGTTGTGATATGGGAGGTGGTTATCTCGCTAAGGCGATAGTCAAAAAGTACGAGCGACCACCACAGCCTTCGACGCATTTCTGCCTCAATGACAGGATGTTTCGCTAAAGCCGACTCGTTTTGAATACCCATGCGCTGCGCGGTTCGAATAGCAACACCGAGCATGGAGTACAAAGACTGAGGAACCGTATTGGGAACAACGGAGAGCTGAAGCTGTTGGTAAGAGACGCAACAGAAAGAGCTTGGACAGACTCACGAGGTAAAAGTATAACGCAGTCAAACATTCACGATCGCTGGACCGTAAGAACCCACAATTATATAGCGCTTGCTGGCAGCCGAACTGATACCTCGCCAGGAGCTCTTCCTTTGAAGACCCAAACATAGACTGACAGTCTTCGGTATTAAGACTCGTAATGGACATGCAATATATGCTAAACATGAGCGCCTCCAGGGTGTGGTTAATGCCTGCCAGATTGCTGACGGCTTCTATAATGCGTGCTTGCAAAGTAGGAGTGTGGGTGACCTTGAGCAGCGGGTTTACATTGTCCAAGTACACCTGCCAAAGCCTGAATATCTGGACTGGATCGGGATGCAATGTGGAAAGCTCGACAGTCGTGTCGCGTGTGCCAAACAGAAGGTTGTCGTCCTTTGGAACAGTATGGTCCCATGCTGTCTTGACCGCTGCCTCACGCACTTCATCGTGTGAAGAATCGCTGTCGTTTTCAGGGTCACGAAACTGTTGCTCGGGTCAGTAAAAGTTGGTTCGATGGCAGTGCGGTCGTACTCCTCGGCTAATGGTGTGCCAGACACTCCTAGAAAAAAATAAAACCAATTAGCCGGTTTCAACTGGCTCGTTACACCGCGGCATACTTGGCTTCGTTGTTTGTACCTTCTTTCGTTGCGCTTGAGGGTTGGCTGTGGCACCGCCGTTTCCGCATCATGTGCCTCCGAATCGTAGTCACTCCTCGCATCATTGCTTTTGATATCGCCAGGTGAGTCCTTGTGCAGTGGCTCAAATGAGATACTATTCTGGCGCAGCAGGTCCTCGTACATGCGCAGACGGTCGAGCAGCTCTCGCTCGGGGAATCTGCGTCTTCGGCGGCGTCTAGAGAGGGTTGCCGGCACACACTGCGCGCGGGATCTGACGCAATTCGCGCAAGGGAAGCTGCGGTCGCACTTCACCTTGCGCTGCTGACATAGCACGCATGCGAGCACGCGCGGTGGTTTTGAGGTGACGGCGGACGAAGAAGACATTAGGTAGGTAGTTGGTGATGGCTCGGCAAAGTTGCGGACGGGCCGAAGTTCTTCTCTGTAACTTACATACATCATCGCCGGTCTTGGCACTCAGCGTCTTTAGAGTCCCGACTCCTTGGCCTTACAGTTGACACAACTACCTTTCGATTTCTGATTTATTGAATCAGATCTCAATTCAATACAAAGATATTCTGTTCATTGATAGCCATGTACCGCCAGGCCCAAGGCATTCCTGGTGAACGAGAAGCTTCCCTAGGGCCCCTGCAGTGCCACACAGATCCACACGATAGGAAAATAGATATACGAGAGAGCTGGAATCTATATAGACTCGCCGACAAAGGCCGAGAGCGTAGATAACTCGTGGTATACACTACTCCATATTCAGCAGGCGACCAAAGTCGAAGGTGGGGGAGCCCCGTACTTCACTGGGTACATCTACAGACGCCGCGGGCTGTGCTCTGCTCTTTTACAAACTACTGCACAGTGAAGAGAAGAAGAGAGCATCAATCAATCGCCTGTAAATACTATACGACGGCTTACTTGATTTTGACTGCATCATGCTCGACGCCAAGGCCATATACCCAGCGACCCCGAGCTATGCCAGCTTTCCAAGTCGCAGAAGCGTCGTCCACAGCACAAATGGCATCGTAGCCTGCACCCAGCCTTTGGCTGCGGCGGCGGGCCAGCGAATTCTGAGCGAGGGGGGTAATGCCGCAGTACGTTATTGTCGATCATCCCAGGAGATGGCCGTGTAACTAACCTCGACATCAGGATGCTGCGGTGGCAGTCGGTAGGTACCTACTACTACTCGTTTACCTGGCTGTAATGCCCGCGAAAGGACCATGTGCTAATTCAAAGTGTACAGCCGCGGCCATCAATGTCACAGAACCCAGTTCAACGGGTATCGGAGGAGACATGTTCTGTCTCTTCTACAACGCCAAAACCAAGAAGATCAGCGCTATGAACGGCTCTGGTCGCTATTCTGGAAGTGCTTCCTTGGCAGACGTACGAAAAGATCTAGGGCTGTCGCCTGGCGTTGATGGTAGCGTTCCTTTCCGAAGTGCTGCCGCCGTGACAACTCCGGGGGCTGCGGCAGGCTGGGTAGACACGGTTGAAAGATTCGGCAGCGGAAAATTGTCCCTACAGCAGGTCCTGACACCGGCCATCGAGCTTGCAGAGAAGGGTTTCCCTGTGTCTGAAATAGCATCGATTTATGTAAGGCGACTGTGAAAATGGTATCTTGTTGAATGCATGATAAGCTGACCGATGTGATAGTGGCAAGAGGGCGAACAATTGATCCGCAATGCATCTGCAAACTTCAAGGAAATGCTTAAGCACGACCCTTCTTCAGATGATGGAGTGAGGGCGCCTCGTCCCGGGGAGATCATGAAAAATCCCGCCATGGGCCGGACATTCAGAACATTGGCTGCCGAAGGGAAGAAAGGTTTCTACGAGGGCCGTATTGCGCAAGAAGTCGTGAAAGTAGTCAAAGAAAATGGAGGATATCTTACCTTGGAGGACCTGAAAAACCATGCAGATCATGGCAGCCAAGATGTGGATGCCATTTCTCTCATTTTTAAAGGGCAGGGCGTAGGCGAGAAGCAGAACACCATTGACGAGGGCGGCGTTGAGGTGTGGGAGCATCCTCCAAACGGCCAGGGAATCGTAGCATTGATGGCCCTGGGTATCCTTGAGGAGCTGGAGCGTTTAGGGAAAATCCCTCGCTTCTCTCGCGAACAGCACAACTCGCCCGAATATCTCCACGCTGTGATTGAATGTTTGCGAATCGCCTTTGCAGATGCCAGGTGGTGGGTAACTGATCCTGATGTCGAGAAAGTCCCCACGCAGGAATTGATCTCTCGTGCCTATCTGGCTGAACGGGCAAAATTATTTGATCCAACCAAAGCCTGCGAGATACTGGACCACGGTAGCCCTGCTCACAACCACTGTGACACGGTTTACTTTGCTGTTACCGACAAAGACGGCAACGGGATTTCCTTCATCAATAGTAACTACGCCGGCTTTGGCACCGGCATTATTCCAGCCGGCTGTGGCTTTACCTTGCAGAATCGAGGCGCGAACTTTTCACTACAAGAAGGACACCCCAATGCCCTGGCTCCAAATAAGCGCCCTTACCACACAATCATTCCCGCCATGATTACCAACCTGGATGGATCGCTTCACTCAGTCTACGGGGTTATGGGTGGCTTCATGCAACCGCAGGGCCATGTCCAAGTGCTTCTGAACATGTTAGGCTTTGGCTATGATCCTCAGGCAGCATTGGATTCCCCACGCATTTGCATAGGTGCGGGGACACCTGATCCCGGCGAAAAAGCAATCAACACTGTTTATGTCGAGGATGGCATTACCGAGGAAACTGTGGAAGGACTTCGCAAACTTGGGCATGATATCACCGTACTGAAGGATTTCAAGCGGGATATGTTTGGCCGAGGCCAATTGATACGAGTTAATTATGACGACGGACAGTTGGTCTATAGTGCCGGAAGCGACCCAAGAGGCGACGGCCAAGCTATTCCATTGCTGTAGGCGCAATGCAAATCACAAGGTAGCACTGGTGTGATGTTGTTTCAGTCTCATTCGGAAGATGTCGTTTTCATAGATTTGGTTGCATTTATGCATGTATGGTTAGCCGATCATAGTCAGTCATCCAACCAGCATTGGTCTATGATTATGCATGTCAGTCCATTATCATTCTGGTATAAGAGTCTCATGTAAGGGAAAGGTGATGCTAAAAGTGGCGTGACATGTATGTTGTACGAGGTAGTTATTGGTACCTGAGGCTTGAGTCGTGGTTGTGCCACCCCAAGGAAAGCTGACCGAACATCGAGCAGAATAGGGAAAATAATTGACATAAACAAACACGGAGGCGGTCCTCTGCGTTGCCCAGTGACACCCGCCAACCTCTTCGTGAAGGGAAATGTAAAGTCGCGCGAAAATCGAAGTAGGCAAAGAAGGAGGGTGGCCGGGCCAATCAGAGGCTGCCAGAACATCGCTGGGCTGCATGGCGCGGGCCGTTGCGCCGCCGTACGCACCTTTCCGCTTTGGGAACAAGCTTAGCTACTACCGCCGCTTCCTTGCTTCCTTGGGGGTCTGACATTGTTTCACTTCACAACGACATCATCCTGACTAGAACATTCGAATTGGCATTTGCGCCGACTTAGATCTGGCTTCTGCGATGTTTCTTCAGCTCGAGATGTCAAGATGATCTGTACTAGTCAGTTGGCAACAGCAGTGGGGATTGAATGGAGCCCTGGACTGGGCATCAGTCATGTTCGTTTTCACTAGACCACCACCACAGTGGGGTGTCGTGCATGAAAGTTTCGCTTCACTTTGACAAACCACTCAACTGGCATGAATGGCTGCAAGTTCATTATCTGACCAGCGCGTCGGATTTTGGGTTGTAGACTACCTGTATGATGAACTGTACCCCCAATTGGCCCAATGCGATTCAATTGAACAGAACTAGGCCGTCGGGCAGAAAAAAAGATGTACGGAGTACGGAGCGAGAGCTTCCATAAGTGGAAGTCCAGCAAAGAAAGGCACCAATTCCTAGGTTTCCCCCAAAAAATTAAAAAAAAAAATTGTACACCTAATGAAGTTAGTCGACAGTGCCACTGCTGATGCTGACCACAGGTCCCGCTGCAGATCGAATGATGGGGAAGCACTTTGTTGTCATGACATATAGCCATGCAGCTATAGTAATGGTGTGGATCATGCCAGTCTCTCTAAAGAAGTCAAACATGATTCCTTTTGGGTGGCAACCCGCTTTTGCCGAAGACCCAAATGGCTACCCAGTTTCTACCAGGCGACTATTTCTATTCTGTGCAGAGTTCCTTTTGTATCCTTACACTTATAAAAATCGTTCGATCCGAGACGTGGCCCCAATAGCATTGTCGATTCGACAGGAATCCCCTAGGCCGTTCTTTTATTCATTCATTGGACCTTCACCAATTTAATCTGTGGTTCGTCGCTTTGCAATTGTATTCTTGATCAACCAGGAGTTTATTTTGTGTATTTGACAGGGATTATCGAGAACAGAAACACCACTCCTGGTCCGTTCCTACTCAGTTTGCGAGACATTGATTACGTGTGATTTATCATCTTGGCCTTAGTTTTTCTTATTTTTATCTTTACTTTTTCAATTTGCATTGGCTACCATCAACTGTCCTTTCGGGTGACACCCCCTGCAGCTGTCGTCATTTGCTATCCTCCTGAGTCCTGTTCTTTGCCAACCGACCTCTTGCTTCCCAATCACTTGTGATTTGTCTACGCGAGCATGCCCAAGAAAAATAAAAAGAAGAAGAATAGCTTCAAACTCTCCCTCGCAGAACCCGAAGCTAGTGTAGAGGGCAACAACAACAACCATGAAGTACGCAAATGTTCCCAAATTTCAGTATCAGAAGTTTGATGGTGCTCACTATCAAACTTTCGATCGTCAATCTTTGAAATTCACCTCCCACCTCATTGTCCCTAAACCTACAATTTCCCTGCCACTGTCAGACAATACAGAAGAAGTTGCTGACACTGAGCCGGATAAGGGGAATACTGAGCAGACTACCGAGGAGAATAAACCCGTCTCTTCAGAAGAGTCTCCTTCGACCGAAAACGATGGTGAGTTGCAATATCAGTTTATTGCTTTCGCGAGTATTACAACCTAATGGGATAATAATATGTAGCCCCGGCTTCTTCTGATCCACCGGCGGAGACAAAGGATGAGGAATCGACGCCTGAACCCGAGCAAAAGACAGAAAATAACGAAACCGGCGGAGAAGCCCCTGGTGATGGTGATTCGAATGAAGCAGCTGCCGGCGCATCAGCAGAACCTGTAGACGAAAGTAACACTAATGATGATACAGCCACTCCCGAGACAGTAGAGGAGACGTCAACGGCAGAGGCTGCACCGGCAGAAGACACTCCGTCAACAGAAGATGCAACGCCAGCGGAGGAGACGACACCAGGAGATGGCACGCCGGCTGAAGAAACTACACCGGCTGGAGAAAATACACCCGCAGAAGATGCTCCATCATCAGAAGACGTCTCGCCAGCAGAGGACGCTACACCAGCAGTAGACCCTCCGTTGACAGAAGATGCGACGCGAGGGGAGGATTCTACGTCGGCAGAGGACACCACGTCGGCAGGAGATGAAGTTTCGCCAGGAGACGCTCCTCCAGAAGATGCCATGCCAGCAGAAAATGCCCCATCATCAGAAGAAACCACACCAGCAGAAGATGCTACGCCGACAGGTGATGCTCCGTCAGAAAATGTCACGCCAGCAGAAGATGAAACGCCAGCCGAGGAGAATTCAACAGAAGCAGGACAAGCTGAGGACCTTCCTGTTGAATCAGCAGTGTCTCCAGATGCTCCACCAGCTATAGAGCCGGAGACACCTTCAGAAGCCCCGCCACCTGCGGAAGAGGAGACACTGGAACAGGAACAACCAAAAGACGAGCCAGGCGTAGGAACTTCCAAGAAGAATAAGAAGAAGGATAAGAAGAGTAAAAAGAAGAAAGATAATTCTCTAAATTCGACAAATGATCCCGAGCCAGAAGCACCAGCCGCAACTGAGAAGCTGCCACCTGAAGACATCGCCAAAGACAATCCAGCGGCGGACAGTAAGCCAGCTACCGAAACGTCAAATTCAACAGATGGCTGGGAGGAATTTGGCAACAAGAAAGGGAAGAAAAAGAAGGAAAAGAAGAAGAAAAAGGGCTTGAATCTAGAAACGCCTTCTGAGGAACCGTCCGAACAAGCGCCCCTAGAGCCGTCTGTAGAGCCGTCCGCAGAGGTAGCACCCGAAAATGAAGCTGCTGCCGAAGGTTCGAAAGAACCCCCTGCGGAAGAAACAGTCATCTCCGAGGAACAAAATGTCGACGAACAACCGGTTACGGAGGATCCGGTAGATGCAGTAGACGAAGCACCGGAGGCCAAGGAGCCTCCAGAGGATACCGCATCTACGGAGTCTCCTGCTGAAGAGTCATCAGAGAACGCCCAGATACCGGAACAAGCAGAACAAGCGGGCCAAGTTGAAGGAGAGAATTCTCAGGAAGAAGAATCTCCAGACCAGCCATCTGCAGAAAATCCCGAAGATGCTGCGAAAGAAGCTGCCGCAGAAAAATTAGCTGAAAAGGACGAGGAGGCACAAGAACAGGTGTCTGCCGAAGAAACCGCAGAGAATGTTGTAGGAGAAGTTGCTGCTGAAAATCCTATTACGGACGACACGACTGAAGAACATTCATCTACAGAAGTTTCCACAGAAGATACAACACTACCTACTTCAGCGGACGAATTAACAGAAGAGAAAGAGCCGGCTGAGGACATTCTCGACGCTTGGGATATGGACGATGACGGTGAGGTAGTTGACGGATCTCCTGACACCGACAGCGCAAAACAAGATGAAAATGGTAAGAAATACCTTGTTTCTTTACACTTTGATACAATCTCATCATTCGTACTAGACGATGACACCTTCCCTGAATGCGACCCTTCTGCAGAACTAGACAAGGTAGAGGCTGAGAAAGAAGCAGAAGCAAAACAGGCGGAGGAAGATGCCGAAGAGGCAATTTCAGAGGCAGCTGCAATGTCAGAGCCAGGTAATGAGGATCCGATAGATGTAGACGGCGATGAGCAGGAAAATGCTGAAGCGCCAGAAGAGCCGGCTGCTGCTGACGCTGAGGCTGAACCCGAGGCTCCTGAAGCGGCAGAAACGACAGAAGCGGCAGCAGCGGACGAGGAAAAAACAGAAGATGCTGTTGTTGAAACCGCCGAGGCATCTGGGAAGACAGAAGTCCCATCTGAGGAACGGATGGAGCCTGCTTCTGTCGATGTGGAGGTGCCTAAAGAAAGCCCCAGTGATGAAACCAATGTCGACAAGCCACCGGTAGATGATCAAACTCCGGAGGAGCCCGCAGGCGAGGAGAGTGTGGCTGAACCCGAGGTATCAGAAGCAGCTGTTGAAGAGGCCGTTGAAGAGGTTGCTGAAGAAAACGTCGCGGACGAAGTCCCAGAAGAAACAGCTGCCGATGAAGCAGTTGAGGAAGAACCAGCAGAGGAAACGCCAAAAGATGGCCCTGCTGAAGAAACAGCTCCAGAAGAAGAACCTGCTGCTGATGTGTCGAATGAAGAGCCTTCGGAAGAGCCTGTAGAGGAACATGTAGAGGAAGAGCCATCAGCTAATGTTGCAGAAGAGGAGGAACAGCCTGTCGAAGAGCCCGCTGTGGAGGAAGAACCAGCTCCCAAGGTCCCAGTCGAAGAAGCTGTTGACGAAATTCCAGCTGTTGAAGAGGCAGCCACAGAGGGAATAGAAGTTGCTGTTGACGAAACTCCGACTGCTGAGGCAATCGAAGAAACTCCAGCCGGGGAGGCTCCTGTTGAAGAAACACCAGCCCCTGAGACGGCTGAAGAAGCTGTTGCTGAAGAGCCAGCGGCTGCTGAAGAGGCTACTGAAGAAGCTCCCGCGGAGGAAGCACCAGCTCCAGAGGCGCCGGTTGAAGAAGCTGCTGCTGAAATAGTGGAAGAGGAAAAATCTGCTGAAGGGGAGCCCGCTATCGAGGACGATATGGCTCCAGATGCGTCAAAAGATGAACCAGCTGAAGAAGTTGCCGTACCTGAAACAGAAGCAGCTGATTCGCCACAGAACGGAGCTCCCGCTGAAGAACCTCAAGAACAACCGCCAGTGCCAGACGAGATGGTTGAACAGCCAGCTGAAACCGAGTCGCCTGAAGCCGCGCCTGTCGCCGAAGAGGTTGTCGAAGAGGCGGCCGCAGTAATTACTCGTGAGCCTGCAACGGAAGATGCACCCGCACCCGAGCCTGTTTCAGAGCCTGTAGATATTGCCCCTGAAGCAGAAATCATCGAAAGATCGCCCCCAGAGGTGACCGAAGCAGATGGACCGAGTGAATCGGCTGTGATTGATGATGACCGCGAGCGTTCTCGAAGAAGACGACGTCATCAGCCTGGGTGGACTCGCGAAAGACGGCCTTCAAAACCCTCAATTGAAATTAACAGAGGCCATCTGGAGCGCCCCAAGGGTGACGGCGGTGTACTGAAAAACCGATGGGCTATGGCACTCGACGAGGCTCGACGACAGCAAGAAGCGAAGGTGGCGAGACAACGCAAGGAGGCCAAACTCAAACTTGAAAGAGCCGAGGAACAGAAGAGACAAGAGGAAGCAGAAAGGAGGGCCAAGCGGGCTGCTGAAAAGGAAAAACTCCGAGAAGCTGAGCGGAGAATGGGTAAAGATAGCAGGAATAGCAGATCGGGACGGCATTCCTCTGAACACTCATCCAGCCATGAACGGAGCAGGAGGCGAGAAGTATCACCAAAGTCGGAATCTGATCCTCTCATTGAAAAAGTCATTAACTCACTGACTTCGGGGAAATCTAATACCAATGGGCCGCTGCTTCACATCAATGCCACTAAAGCAGTCGCCGCCGTCTCAGCACGCCCTGAGCAGATGCGAAGGTCATCGACGCATCACTCAGGACATACTCGCCGCTCGCATGAAGAAAGGGTGTCTAGCAGTTCCAGAGATGACCATGCAGCGAGGCGAGAAAGACAACATCGCTCGGAGCGTCGGAGAGAGGATACTTCAGATGAACGACGCCGACATCGTGACGAACGTGAACGCGAACGTGAACGTCGACATGATGAGCGCGCAGCACATGCTGAGCATCCTCGTAGCAGTCGTCACCCGAGACAAGAGCAGAATGCAAAATCTGGGTCATCTCGAATGGGTGGCTTATTGAAATCGATCAAGGTATTCTGAGCTGTTGATATGGAGGACGTATGGATGTTGTTTCTTTACTTTTCTTCAGGAACATAATTGTATTTTTCTCATTTGTTCACTACCTTTTCTTTCATCTTTCCCTTTTATCTACTTCTTTCATGTCTTTCACTTTCTTTTTCGGTCTTTGAGATGAGTAATTGCGTTGGGAAACACAAAATTCTATTCTTGTACCTTTTGATACGTAATACTCTTTTCACTCCTGTTTTTCAATTATGACGCCTATGATAACGACGCATGTATAATTTTTCAAACTTTTTGGGAGGCACTGTACGGTCATCATGTTAATTGTAGGCTATGTCCAATATGCTCTATCTCGGCTACCTAGGTACATTTCGTACTCGAACTCATAAGTCATGTAATGAATGATGCCCCGCAAAAATGCCCTGTGCATATATATGAGGTACCTCAGTATCATATGAAGTTTCATTTCAACCGAAAAAGACCCGAAAAGGATTTCAACTATCTTCAATGTTGGATAGGCGTTTCTCTCCATTTAGGCCCAAATCTCTTCATCAGTCCCAGGACAGACACGCCAGAGACGAAACCAACTATACCTAGAATGGTGAATAGCCATCCATTTCCAATGGCGTTAATAATGGGCGACGCAACAATCACTCCGACACAGGACAGGATGTTGCGGATGAAATTATTGAGGGCGACGCCAGCAGATGGCTTGCGAGGGAGGAATTCCGTGAGCATGGTCGTTGAAAGGCCAAAGATTAGCATGCTGCCAATCCCGAAGGCAAAATTTGCTATCATCTGTAGACGATATGATTAGTTTAGGTAGCAAAAAACAAGGGCAATTAAGTGTTCAATATAATCATACCGGCACAAACCAGAACACGTCTTTCTGCGCAGTCCACCCATACATGATCAAGCCGGCAGGGTATAGAAAGGCACCGAGCCAGGCATTTTCTTTCATTCGATCTTCCGGTAGGAAAATAGGTCGGCCCTTTTCATCAAATCGACCGGCTTTCACGGCTTCGCGGTGCATTATTTTGTCCATCCATTTCCCACCAAAGAGACTTGCAATCAGATACCCGAGCGAGTTTGGCAGATAAAGCAAGCCGACGATGATAGTGGAAAAATTATAAGGTGCCCCCTCAAAAGTTTGCTGGACACTGATGTTTAGCACATATAAGGAGCCGAAAGTGATAGCGGCATAGTAGATAGTCAATACGATTGGGAAGTATCTCAAGAATCGGATCATTTTCAGAGGCTCAACGAGGGTTATTTTCAACATCTGCAAAAATTTGATACTGCTTCTCGCCATTTTAGAGGAAACTCTGCTTGAAGTCCGTGCCATCTGTTCTGTCTGCGTTGTGGGCAGACTCTTTCGTTGCTGCAGCGTCTCTGGAAGAGCGACGAGGAGGAAGACGAACACAATGGCGCCAAAAACCACCATAAACCACATGGTACTTCGCCAACCCCATCTCTCAGCCAGCAGACCTCCGATAATGGGGGCAAAGAGTGGACCACAGAGGGGACCGATATAAAAGTAGCTCATTGCTCGACCTCGCTCTTTCACTTCCCACAAGTCTGCTATGGTGCCTGCACCGACAGCTTGCACAGATGCCTAGATAGAAGCTGTTTAGTCACCTGTATTGGAGATTCAAGATGCGGGATCCTACCGATGCCCCGCCTGCAAGTAGACGCATGACGATCAGCATGGCAATACTATTGGAGATTGCACTGAGGACATTGAACACAATGAAAAGCGCAAAAGATATGATGTAGATGGAGCGTCGTCCAAACAATTCGCTGGACGAAGACCACCACAGTGGGAATATGGACATGGCCAGCATATAGAGAGCAACAGACAAGTTCACGATGGTTGGCGTTGAATTCAGATCAACGGCCACCTGCTTCAGAGACGGCAGGAAAATAGAAGATCCAAGCGGTGCAGCGACGCCGCCTACCGCGGCGACTGCAGTGAGAAACCATCTAGTTTTTCGCGGATATGTCTTCGCATTATCTACCTCGGCGATGAGTGTGACTTGCGCGAATAGCCCTCGACGTTTCAACCTCGGAACGGTTACAGGTGGTCCCAGCTCTGTGGTGATGCGTCGGACGACAGGCGATGTATTGTTACAATTATTCTCCGGGTCCTCATCATTGCCGTTGTCGTGCAGATCAATCTCGACAGCAGAAACCGTGGATGCGTCTGAATGATCCTCGGCATGAGTTTCGGTTTCGTTAATTCCTGTACTCTGTACATTGTCGTGTTGTTCACTCGGCGCTGGATTTTTCTCGCTCTCACTCATCCTTGCTAAAAGCTCGGCTATGATGGGCTGCCGGATAAGTATCCGATGGCTGTTTGCGTCCCACCAACTTCGTTCTCTCGGTTTGCGGTTTGCGGTTTGCGATATCTCTTCGAGCTCCTTATTCGTGATCAGAAAGAATGGGAGGATAGGAGTGGGAAGCTGAAGTTCCTCTAGAAATTCCCCGGGCTTTCCTAGCAGAAACGCCGCGTTAGGGCTAATTCTCAATGCGGTCAAGCAGCCGTTTGCAATTGCAACCCTTCGATATACAGACGAGAGCTGGACGCGAGAGTATACATATAAAAACGAGACAAAGAGATGCACACGAGAAATCAAAACAAAGGAAGAATAGATGTCAGCACATGTAAATTCCGAATATGTAACGACGCATCTGGTTCGTAAACGAACTGCGTTATAACTTTTAAAGCTAGCTGCTGCTTACTTACCCACTTTATGCACTAATGCTATCTAACAAAGATGTGAAAATCACTAGGAGGCAATGATTGTCGAGTAGTTGAGCTATAGACCTATAACTATCTGTCTGATAGCTTGTTTCTTAGAGCTTCTTCTAAGATAGGCCGATTCAATGGCTGTTCCAAGGAGCATCCGAAGGAGCAAGCCAAAGAACAACCAACGAGAAAACATTCTTATTCCGGAGTCCGTACTCCGTATTCCGTACAAAGTGCGGAGTTAACAGTCTACAAGGATTGGGGAAAATTTTTTCCTTCATAAGGTTGGTGATCTGATAAGCGATAGGCGTGCTGCCTAACATGTGCCGAACTCCCGAGCAGCGGTTATTGGCTGTTGTTTCTATCGGTGAGTCACTGACTGGGTGAAATCATAAATGATGCTAGTTGTCTAGTGTTGAATGGATATTCTACAACTTTGTCATCTGGCATGCAAGGCGTCATTCCAAACCCTAATCACGTGGATATGATCAGTCTGAATCAGCGAGTAATGAACTCGTCACCATGCGGGTGAATCACCCCGTATGGCAGAGCCCTGAAAGACATTCTTGAATCGCCTTCGGTTCCGAAAGTGTTTTTGATGTAGGCAACGTATAGTTACTTTGGAATTAGTCTTGCTGGAGTGCAGGATCTCAGGAGCTTTCTAAAGAAATATGTCAACGGCTTGTTAAAATGTATTGAGTATGATGCATCTATGATTACTGTGGAAAGACAAGTATGGCATACTGCAAAAGAGAAAGGCATTGTTTGCTCTAGAACTTGGGGTAAGCTATGAAGTGTTTAATGCCCGTCCCCTCGTAGCGAGATCGCAGTACTGCGTTCAAGACGTTTGATACTTGCCGAAGCTCTGGGAAAGGTACAATCGAAAACTGAGTAAAAATTGGGCAAGTAAAGTTGAAATGGAGGTTAAAAACAGAATGATGATATCTCAATCGGATAATTCAATGGCAAAGGGCCGCATATGGCGCTAGTACCTCGAGGTTGGGCATATATCTTTCCTTAACACGTAGTTACTTTACACCTTAATAGTCCAAGATCCCAATCATATCTCTTTATAAATGCTTTATGTCTTAATCTCATCACTTTGTCTCGTCTTTCTCCAGGTCAATACCCCAAAACTTATTGATGCGTTCCTGGAGCAGCTCATAGCAACTCCCTTTCCGGATAACACGCATATTCTCAAAATCCATACTGGTGGACGCTTGCCCATAGATATGATAGCGCTGCAGCCCATAATTGACGATGATATCCGCGACATCCAGGACCTCCTGCTCGATATTCTGGACTCGAAACTTCTGGCCCTTGCCCGAGACGTTGGCGCTGGAGCCAACCACCAGCTGGCCGGCGGCTTCGTTCAATTTGCACAACTCCGTTAAAAGCGAACCGCCGCCTACATACATGGCAATAGTTCCGTTCTTGCTCGCTTTTGCGAGAGTCTGCGGCGTGGTGTTCTTTAGGATAGGATGGTCGTCGCGATATGGCGCAACGATGATCAGCGGCATATCCAGGTCTTGTGTCAGGACGCGGGTCATCTCAAATCGCTTGTCGTCCAGCACGTGGAGTCCGCGATGCAGGTCGTAGGTGCCAATGATGCCCACGGAATGCCCAGCTTTGCGCTGCTTGGCCGCAAATGCGCGTTCGATGGCGTCTGCCGACGAAGCGAATATGGCGTAGCCAACCTCGGACGGCAGGATGGCTACGCCCCCGGCCTTGAGCACGTTGAAGACGCGGAGCGCATCGTGCCTGACGTTGGGGAGCTGGCCGGGAGCCGGGATGGTTTTCGCTTGGATGGATGCCATTCTTGTGTGTGTGTCTTTGGAATACTCATGATGATGGATCAGTGTAGATGAGCATATCCTTATATAGAAGTATAATTTATTGCTGGAGCTTTGGACAGAGTCAACCCTCTGCACTCCCAACGCCGAAGTATGAGATCAACACCAATCATCTTCCAGTATCTGTGTTGGTCCCTGAGTCTCAAGGTTATTCAAGAGCTTGAAACCAAAACTTCTCAAAGCTGATTCGGCCGCACAGCCCCATGTGACGTCAGGCACCCAGGCACTCAATGCTGCAGCTAATCCGAAACAGGCAGTTCATCTTGCCAAGACTGCGTTTACTTGGAGATGCGCGTATTACCAAATACGATGAAGCGTTGAAAGCCATGGGGAGTAGTACATAGTCAACTTTATATGTCATCACGTCGTTAGATCTAGGCAGACTCCGACGACAACTCTCCAGGTGGCGGCTCTTGCTTAGCCTGTCGCAACACTTGCTCCAACTCAGCAACCGATTGCTGCACCTGGTCCTCGCCAGGAAGGTTGACAATCAGCAAATACAGCACATCCTGCACAAACGTCCTCTTGAGAAAGGCCGACTTCTTCTCCTTCATGCGCGCACGCCTCGCGCCCCTCACACGCTCCGGATCGGGGAGCTCGCCGCCATTCCTGGATTTCTTGATGGCATCCGATACTTGCACAAACCGATCAGCCAGGCTGTGGTGGCCAACCTTGCCGCCGGTGAGGACTGCAGTAAGCGATCCGCTGTTCGCCGCGTGATTGGGGTCGTTGTAGCGTGAAACAAAGGCTTTTCGCTCTGACGCGGGCACAGCTAGAGCGGACCCTGGGTGCTTGGCTTCCTGGTTCCTGTTAGCAGTCGAAAAGAAATAAAAAGAAGATGGAAGTGGTGGTACTCACAAACAATGCCTGCATTCTTCTATCCATATAGTCGGCCACCCAATCCCCAGCCTTCTTAGCCCCTTGCGCTTTCCCCTCGCCTGCCTGGGCTGCAATCCGATCCAAATCAGGATATACCAGCGGCGCAGCATCAGGTAACTGCATCTGTCCGTGTGTTTCACCGCTCGTGAGTCTGTAGTCTTGATAGCGCTTTTTGGCCTTGGACATTTCTGGGTCGGGGTTGCTATATTTTGCGACTGCATCATCGATACCGAGTCTGTCGTTTGCGATATCGAGCTTCTCGGGCATGATAAGCATTATTTGTCCAAAGGCCGTGGTTATTTTTCTCACCCCGTTCTTCTCCGGGGGGATCTCATCTTTGAATGCCATCACCATGGCAAACAACCCGCGTGGCATGAATAGTTCTTGGTTCACACGGTCAAGGAAGTTGTTTCTGCGGCGACGCGTTTGTAGTTCTCGGGCGGTTCCTGCCACGGTTTGGATGATTGAGCCCGTGATACTGGCTATGAGCTCGGGGGCGAAGCTCACAATACCAGAGGCGACATAGATCACGTCGAGCCAGGCGTCGGCCTACGTCCGCTGTCAATAACTAACCAAACTTCAGAGAATGTAATAAATGGATCGACGACACACCTCACTCGCTTTGTCAAAAACCTCCAGAAATTCCAAAAACACGTCCTGACTGATACCACTATCGGCTAACACTGGCGCATATGCACGCACAAAGCCGCGATCCTTGAATCTGGGTCTGCGCTGAGGAATAATCACCGGACAAGGAATCTGCTGCACAACGCTCACTGGGCCTGCCTTTCTAACCAGCGCACGCACCATGGCTTCCTTCTTCCGCACCTTCTCAGCTTCAGTATCTTCAGTGCCTAATTGCATATATTCCGCTTCTTCATATGTCGGCAATCTCGCATTGCGCGCCGCCTCGTCAAGCTCCCAAGCTGCTTCATCTTGATCGACGCCGCGCTCCAGCTCCTCGGAGGGAGAGCCATCCTCATATCCCGTTTCGGCGTCTTTGCTCTGTGTCTGACCGGATTTCCCGTCAACAACGACGATGTGCTCGGTGCCCGCGAGAGAAGGGGAGGAAGAAGACACAGAGCGCCTTTTGGATGAGCTGTTGCGGGCAGCGTGGATAGCTTCGGAGGTGAAGCCAATGGTGGAGGACGCCAATTTCGAAACAATACCCATGTTGAAAGGCGTGGAAATATCAAAGATTTCTAAATGTTATGTTGATGTAGGGGAAAAAATAAAAAAATAAAAAAAAAACAATGGGTGTCCCACAACTCTTGTAGCTTTCTTTTTAACACTCACATCTCTAGTCCCTGGGTAATAGATACCCATACCCAGAGAGCTGAAAAAGGCCCATGCTGAATTCGTGCCCTTCCACCGCCCATTTAAATCAACGGTCGGCGAGATTATGTTGGTTTCATTGCTGCGAAAGGGACACATGGAAAAATGAAGCTCTGAACCTTGATGCAAAATCCAATGCAGATGGGCGCAGCTAACCCAATTAGGTCAATTTCACGAAGCTAAGCAACAATCAACAAGAAACCAGGCCTTACACGTGTCGCTTTTACTTTAAATGAACTCTATCGAAAGTTAAAACGAAAGGCGAAAAAAGCTAGTTCTCCTGGGAGGTGGGCCATAGTCCAGCTAAGTTATGAGAGCTTACTCATCCTTACGGGCCAAAATTCGCAAGAATGAGCGAACCCCAAGTTAGGCATCTATAGGGTTAGGGTTGTAGCTGTTCTGGACCCTCTGATTGGAGGCCCGCATAAGCAAGCCCCACTATAGGTAATCAACTCCTTTTCGGAGGAAATCAGAACCAGCATTATCAATTTGATAGATTGACTCCTGCTATATCCAGGACCTGAAAAGATCAGAAACCAGATACGAAACAATGAATATTTGCTTCAGTACTTTACTCCTACCATAATGCTGACCAGCGAAAAGCGGCCTCTTTCCTCGCTATCCACCGCGTCGTGGAGAGTGCATCGAAACCAGTCAATGACAACGTTTTGTCTCGATATTCGACCCTTCTAGCAATCAAAATCCTTAAGCGTATTCGCCCTCGAGAAGGGAATGTTCTCATGCTTACAGACCGGTTATGTGTCAAGTATGGGCGCCGCGTACATCTGTCCGAAGCATCGACAATCCTTTTCATATCGCAATATACATCCATCCCGGTCCCAGAAGTTTTATGTGCATTTACCCGTTCTAGATGGACATACATTGTGATGGAAAGGGTCCAAGGAGACATAATTGGCAATGGCTGGGTAAACGGAGTGAGCACTCAAAGGCAAAGCTTCTTACGCAGTTGGAAAAAAAGATTCGTCCAACCTCCGCAAGGCATGGGAGTCGCTTCTGTTGACGGCGGATAACTTTTCGACTGCCGTGTTCCGGGTTCTTCTTCCTTGCGTTTTGGTCCCTTTGATAACGCCCAGGATTTCCATCGGCATTTACGCATGGGCATGGAATATGATTCAAAGACTTGATCCTGAAATCTAGGAACTTATCATTAAACAACAAACCCAAACTTGGCCTTTGGTATTTACTCATGGCGACCTTAGCAGCCTTAATATCCTTGTTCGCAGAGATAATATTGTTGGTATCATTGATTGGGAAACTGCCGGCTGGTATCCGTCATATTGGGAATACACATCTGCCCACCAAGTCAATCCACAGAATTCTTTCTGGGTTAATGAGATTAATAAATTCCTAGAACCAATGCCTGAAGAGCTGGCAATGGACCGGGTCCGCCAAAAGCACTTCGGAGATGTTTGACATGTTAACTCATACAATGATCTCCTTCCGCTCTATCAGTCATATGTGGGAACCTTTCTCATATTGAAGTTTCCCTGCCCGTCAAAAGGGTGCTGGTATTTCTTTTGTTGGCAATAACCCATCGCCTCATCGCGCATCTTTTCCCACTCAATGGCGCTCGTGCCCAAGGCCTTGGGATCAACTTTGAGTCTTTCTAGAGCCTCTTTAACCCAGAGAACACAGTTCCAACCAGGTTGGTCTTGCCGAATAGGTGTATTTCGCAAAATCTCAACTAAGCGATTTCCATCCGCTACCTTCCCAGCCGTAATACGAAAAAGCACCATGCTAGTAGGGGCAAGTGGACGCTCACGCTCTTCGAAGAACCATTCAGAACCACCTCCAATTTTTGGCTTCTCCTTTGCGTCGTAACGGAATCCCATCCCATCCTCCGTTTCAATCTTTGGCCTCACAATCAAGGCCCAATGATATCTAGTTCAGATGGGATATCAGTCGTTCAATTCCTATACGCTTAATAAGATCGTGCATGTTAAACTAACGTGTCTTCCTTGCCTGGCATTGTGGCATTACCACCGCGTGCATAGAAAGCAACATATAGACGATCTTTATTGGATGGTATCGTGTAGGTGATCTTGAGCAAAGGTAGCTAGATACGGCACTAAATGGGGCAGGTCATGTGTAAGGAGTGTTTGAAAGTATTGAACTATCAGAAAGCAAGCATCACAACATAACTAGTCTCATTTGTAGCGCTATGCAGCTATGTACCTTGGAAAGGAAATGCCCACGGGCGGCCATTTCAACGTGTCTCGTCAACACCAAGGCTGCGTTACATACTTTATCTTGGTTTTGCGAACATAAGCCAAAAGCGGCCTTGGCAGCACGAGACATCTTTTTGCAGGGATCAGGCAAATGGCACATCAAATCAGACCTAGCGGCACAGCAGGTGTCCAAGTTAGCACTGTAAAGCAGTGAAACCGATGCCAGACATAGGCTTACAAACCCACGTCTGATGAGCAAGGCGATGAAAACTCACTAACAGGCTTGGAACACTCCTCATGTCTGTAAATGATAACTATCTATGATTGGTTAACCTCTATATAAATACCAACAGCAGCTTGTTACAAGATGGAATGTCCAAAACATCCATCTCTCTTGCCTAAACCAGGGCACAGCCATACAAGTAGCACAGGGGGGTAAAAAAAGGATGATGGTAGACCGAAATTTGGACACATTGCTCAATATATCGTCGGAATTTTCATGGTGGATAAAGCTACCAAAGACTTGATCGAAACAAAATGACCAACTTCTCCCTGCTTTCGAGCGACGGTATATCAAACACCTCGCGCCTACAAAATCCACGGGCGTGAAAGCCATCAGTAAGCAGTACGTAGGATTTATATATGCTCTAGTAGCATAGCAATGGTTTTGATTTTCCGTTTTTGTTCTAATAACATCCTTGATGTTCCAATGATGCGAGCTAAGTGGACATTGACTATTCTAATTGCCCCTTTGCACAACACACATTGAAAAGAAAAATAATGGAATACCTAGGTAGCTATGGCTTATCCAGGCAAAAGCCTGCCTTGGAATGGAGTGCCCACGGCATAAAGTTCTAAAAGACCATACAGAGAGCACATTGGAGGATGCCCGGTTATGTACTATATATATATATATAGCTATAATATCAGCAAGGAAGCAAGCCAATGTATCTGTCCAGATGCCCTCTAATTGGTGCGGTCACCATGTCGCACTAGATCTTCAAGAGAAGTCGAAAACGGACCCCTTGAGAGGCTTTCTGGTAATGCTAATTTTGTGTGTAAACAATGCCTAATTTTCCGCTGTCAGAGCCTGATGGCTACCCTACACTAGATGGTGTAGGTTAATACAAGATATCTTAATACCTTTTGCATAGTCGGATCTACCTCTTCCGCAGGGATGGCATTGTTAGTCGTTGGCTGATGACAAGCTATCAGAATGCTATAAAAGATGAAGGATACAATTGATAGACTTTGCGTCTCGCTTCAAAGAAAACCCCAGCACATCATATTTGCGATTTTTCGCCTGGACCACGATGCATGTTATATCCTGTCCAGGTAAAGCTACCGGAATGGCGAGACCATAGTGGGCTGTATCTGGATATGCAATGATCATATAGACCAGGACCAAGCCCAAAGATGGCATATATGAGTCGCAGTAAGCGCCTCCTTCTCCAAAGTCTCGGGAAAATGTCTCTTTATCAACACCTGTGAAGATGATGTATGGCGACTTCTGACTCGCCGTGTCTTTTGCCAGCATGTCCCTGTGTTTCCGATAGACATTTTCAAAATAGTTTGGCAGGTACGCATATCCCTTTGTATGCATATGAGTTGAGGTTTGGTGACTTCGCTCATGGTACTTCGCTGCAGGATCTATCCAGGTAATGACGTGCTTCATGACGCATGAAAAGACCTGCCATGTATGTTATTTATCATCTCGCATCGCTTTCCGCCAATTTGGAAATGCAGGTGTCGCATCTAGTAACCTCAGGCGTTCGAAAAGGTCATGGCACTGCTTGTCTGTTCAAGATGCAATAATTGATATTCACCATTCGGCCACCAAGAATAGTTCCCTTAATGGTGCTGTTGGTAATGCTCATTTCATGTGTAGATTTGCCTTCGTATTCCGCCCTCAAGACAACGGGAAAATTAGCCTTTGTGGTAGGTTGACCAGCAGATGACCATGGAAGTTTCCAGTCTATCCCCCTCTTGTGTGCCTCTTCTGACTTCGGAACATCTAGGTAGTATAGATCGCATTTTATGTTCATGTCACACGGAATAGAAGGAGCACGCAGGTTAGAAAACCTGGCAAATGAGCTGATCGTTCGAAGAAAAGTACATGTCTTCGGTATCACTGAATCGATAAACGCCTGTGACGTACTGCTGGAACCACTGGTCGACTTCTTTGAAGAAAGCATTAGTTCCCAGGCCAGTCTTCAACGGTGACCATTTGGGTGCCGCATCGCACACATAAAATACGTGCGCCCTCGCACAATTCTTCTTGTTCACACATGAGAGAGTAGCTAGCAATAGAAAGTTGGTCGTCCTCAAGATATTCTCCTTGTGAGAATAAAAAGTTGTCGAGCGCGAGTTCTGCGAATGAAAATTTTTGTCGTTGGGTCCTCTTCGACGAGACCATTGGCAGCGAAGTTTTGATTGTCTTTTCTCTGTTACAAGATGCACGCAGTTGGGCACTTGACGACGTAGTGCAGAAAAATGGGCTAGTAGGCCAAAGGGGGAGAGGAAATAGTCAGTTGAGCATATTGAGGCAAGTTGACCAAGGGTGGACGATGGGAGGGAGAATGAAGGAGGAGGAAGGAAGGAGAGAGGTCAAGTGACCATGAAACGCAAAGGAACGCCCGGCAGCCCTAACACGGTACACAATACGTCGTTTGCTGTTGATCAATGCACTTCGTGCTAGTTCTGGGGGTCTAGAGCACTATTCCACTGCGCAAGAAAAGTCCATATTACATATAGTAGAAGCATGCCTGGCTGAGGGCTAAGTTAGTGGTTGGAGGTGGGGCATAGAATTTCTGCCCTCTTTCTAAAAAGGACATTTGCCCTCAATCCCTAAACACGACAGCATTAATCATGACTAGAAACTCCAATCTCCCACCAAACTTCCTTAGCGACCACATGGCCAAGTTCTCCGGCGAAGCCTACATCGAGGGCTGGGCAGGATTGTGGAACAACAAGGGCGAAGATGAAAGACTGCCCTGGGATCGGGGCTGCCACAGTGCCGCCCTGGAAGATGTCCTGCAGGAGAAAAAGGAACTTGTGGGAGAGGCATTTCTGACCGAAGTGCCGCATAAGAGCAATTGTCGTAAGCGAGCTTTGGTGCCGGGCTGTGGCACCGGCTATGATGTGCTGCTTCTTGCTAGCTTTGGTTATGACACTTACGGTCTGGACTATAGCCATGTTGCTATTGAAACGGCTAAAAAGGAGGCGGCGAAGAACGCAGATCAATATGCCATGAGAGACCCCGGCGTGGGTCGAGGAAAGGTTGTCTTTGTACAAGGGGATTTCTTTAAAGATGAGTGGCTAGAGAAACTGGGGCTGGGACAGAACTCCTTCGACTTGATATACGATTACACGGTATGTGTTGATGCCTTTCTTTTCTTTTCTTTTCTTTTTCTTCTATCCTTTTGCTCCCGGATCCTGAGGTTTTCTATTTCAAGCTTGACTGACTCTCTATATGCTAAGTTTTTCTGTGCTCTCCAACCCTACTTACGACCGGCATGGGCTCTGAGGCACCGTCAGCTTCTTACACCTCCACCAGTAGGAAACCTGATCTGTCTCGAGTGGCCAACAACTAAAGATCCGACACTGCGAGGGCCGCCCTATGCTGCGCCATCACACGCGTACTTGGAGCATCTAACCCATCCTGGAGAGGAAACACGCTACCAGTGTGATGGCAAGATAGAGATTGATCCCTCGCGGAAGCCAAATGATATGGCCCTCGAACGGGTGTTGCACTGGAAACCGGGGCGAACATACGAAATAGGCAAAGATGGAAAGACGGGTGAGGTTCTCGACCGCCTCTCGATATGGCGCCGACGTAATTGATTATTTGACCGTCTAAAAAGACGTATATTGAGCAATAAAAAAAACTAGTTGTAGTAGTTTTTAGGACCTTTGATAAAGTCATGCGAGAAAGTTTCGCACTCAGACCGTCTTCTGTGCCAATGCATTGTAATGTTCTCCTAGTCCGTAAGTATGCCTATAGTAGGCCAGCCAAATCCGTTTAACTTCATCGTCAGTCTCTAGCGATGCAGGTTGGATTTTCTCCACTCGACCGTCGCCCTGCAGGATGTTTATTTCCACGCCGTAAGCTTCGGAGATGGCGTGTAACTCCAGTTGCCCGCCCCATTCAGCTGTCAGCCGTATCTTTTTGACGTATTCATCCAGTGGATCTTCCATGAAAGGGACGAAATTATCCTGGTGTTCCGTAATATAATCCGCCGTCACCGCTCGCACAGCCCTATAACCATCATGCTTAGGTGATGTCACCGTATCAACGCGCGAGAGCGTAGCTGGCTGAAGGACGATCCGTGAGGGATCCGGTCTCAGACCGAGTCCTAAGCTATCCAGTTGACATGCAATAGCGGAATAAAGACAATGTCCATCCGGATTTATTTCAATCTCTTGTAGTCCGCGTTGTCTAAAAGCTGCTTCCATGATCTCCTTCTCATTCCCGCGATGGTCGGTCTGCTTTGCTGCTTCTTCAGCGGCGATTTCGGCTTGTGCTACTCGTTCCGCTTCTCGTCGAGCTAATCGCGCTTTTTGACGATTCGGTTTTTTGGTTTGTACAGGTGCGGGTTCGTCTCTTTTGCTCCTCGTATCGCCGGGTGGGGAGGATGGCTCTGTTGTAGTGTTCATAGGTGTCGCAGCTGTTGACTCCTCATTATCGTCGAGATGAATATTGTCTAGGCCCTCTGAAACAGGATCGCCGTTCAGCTGTGCGATTTCGAGCTTGTGTCTTTCATTCAGTTCTTGCTGCAGTCGATCACACTCGTCGTTCACGCCTTTGCGAGTTTTCTTTGTGGCATTCTTTTTTTTCTGCGTTATTCGAGCCTGAATATCCCGTTGCTCCTTGCGATGCTTGGCCTGCAGTTCCTCCATTATTACAATGCAGGCTTATTTTTCATTCTTCTGTCCCTGGTAATTCTGCCAAAGGCTCCTCGCAGCAAAACAATAAGAAAAGTCGGAGAGGCTCGGCGGGGGGCGGCCCCGCTGAGCCCTAGAAGACCAGCCCTAACTAGTGTCCAAAAGAGGACTAGACATTTTAATGACAGCCTCGGCTTGTCTCAAAGCCGGGGGTTACTCCGTTTTCCTTTGGCATGAGCAATCAACTTCATGACGCCAACTATAGCTTCTATGATGTTTATTGCTTCTCTTTTCGATATTGAAGTGACTTAGTATTGATTTACATTGATTAGATCCTACTTTCTCAATGGATGTCCAAAGCCTATTCAATGTCAAGGTAAGCTTCGCATTGATTTGCAGTTGTCTTCTTAATTCTAACCAACATTCCATTCCTGCAGGACAAAATTGTCCTGGTCACGGGCGGAGCGAAGGGCATTGGCAGGATGATCTCAGAAGGATACGTAACGAACGGTGCTACGGTCTACATCTCTTCTCGCGACTCCAAGGCATGCGAAAAAGCGGTCAGTGAACTTAATGCTCTAGGCAAGGGCAAGGCTCATGCCATTACCGCCGATTTCTACAAAGAAGAAGACATCAAGAAATTGGTGGACGAGTTCGGAAAGCGAGAGAGCAGTAAGGATTTGTGCCCGGCAACTGTCTCGCAAGAGACTGCTAACTTGTCTACTTTTCTCGGATAGAACTTCATGTCCTGGTAAATAACTCAGGGTCCAATTGGGGAGCTCCGTACGATGAATATCCTTCTGCAGCCTGGACCCGGGTGTTGACGCTCAATCTTCACCGAGTCTTCGACCTAACCAAGCTCCTGACGCCGTTTCTCGAAAGGGGCGCCAGCGAAGATGACCCGTCTCGCATTATAAATATAGGTTCAGTGGACGGACTTCGGGTTCCCTCCTTGGAGACATTTGCGTACAGTGCATCCAAGGCTGGGCTGCACCACCTAAGCCGCGTATTGGCCAGCCATTTGGGCGAAAGGAATATCACGTTAGTGAACCTTGGTGTCTGTCTGTCGCCTGAAAGCACAACGTCTAACCCATGGACAGGTCGAACACCCTTGCATGCGGTCCCTTTCGCAGTAAAATGATGGCCGCCACTCTGCGTGAGATGGAAGATGCGATTGTCGCTCACATCCCCCTCAGTCGAATCGGTAGACCGGAGGATGTGGCAGGGGCGTGTCTTTTCCTAAGCAGCCGGGCCGGGTCGTATGTGACTGGCGCCACGATCACAGTGGACGGCGGTTCAGTAGTCAATTCAAAACTGTAGTTGTGGATCGTGTGGTTCCGTTAACAAAACAAAATGTATGCCATTCGTATTCCTGTTTGAGAGATAGTTAGCGGGATGTGGGTCCGTGGCATCATCGCAGCTTCCGAAGTGACGAAACCACTGACCGACCGCATGCTTGGGAGGCAAAACAACTTCCTTCCTTACTCTCTTCCACAATAATCATTCCGTAAACTCCTCTTTTTACGCAAACTCGTTTTTTACTACCGTTGCTTGCTTAACCCCTACCTCGACTGGAATCCTCTTTGCAACCTCCGATCCAGAGCGTTGAACTAGAGTCCCCCGCGTCTTCGGTGAAAGACCCAAGACTGTCTGACTTCTTTTCATCATGAACTCGCAAGAGCGGCTACAACGCGCCATCTCCATAGCGGCAGATCCATTCTCGGAGCCAGAGGTCTACTATGGCGATCCAGACGCTGAACGCCACCGGCGGTCGTTCTCAGCGGTGAGTAGCAAGCAAGCGCCATAGATTAGAATGGCAATAGGCTATCGATGACTAAGACACGTTGGACTTTTAGAACTTGAGGCCAGTCAACCGGCAAGATATCAAAGATTTCCTTGGGAAGTTGCCAGCGCGGAGAGGGAGTCATGGTGCGTACCCAGCTCCGATACGAAGTCACCTTTGGTGGAGAACAGATTGATTAACAAATTCCCTTGGTGGAAATAGATGAATTAACCTTGACTTCTCGCAAATTCCTCATCGATGTCGACGAAACGATTGCAAACCTACTGGAGCGGGAGGATACCAATCAGGATATGGGTATCACAATCGAGAGTGTTGGTCCAAAGGTCAGCGGATAACCCCGAATATTTGTTAAAGATAGCGGATATTGATTGTTTGTAGGTCCTACCAGTAGGAACAGCCGCCTCTCAAGGGTATAACAAGATTGATATCCGCGGTACCTACATGTTGTCCAACCTCCTCCAGGAGCTCACTGTCGCAAGGGAATACGGCCGCAAGAGAATTGTGCTTGATGAACAACGGCTGAGTGAGAATCCAGTCAACCGTCTATCTCGGTTTATCAAAGACATGTTCTGGAATGCGTTGACTCGACGGATTGATGGGTCCAATATTGCTGTTGCTGGTTTGGATCCGAAGGACTGGACTGGTGATCCTCGACCTCGTATATATATCCCCCCGGGAGCACCAGAGCAACTGGAGTATTACAGACGAGTTGCCGAGGAAAATCCTGAAATGGGGCTTGACGTTCAAATGCTGGAAAGCCATATCACCCCTGAATACGTGAAGGATTTGAACGCTAAACCTGGTCTCTTAGCTGTGGATATGGAGGAATATATCAATCCAAAAACGGGCAAGAAAGACTTGCGTGGAGTTCCTTTCGTTGTCCCTGGCGGTCGTTTCAATGAACTGTACGGCTGGGACAGTTACATGGAGTCTCTGGGGTTGATTGCCAGCGATCGGGTAGATCTAGCCAAGGCCATGGTAACAAATTTCTGTTTCTGCATTAAACACTACGGCAAGATCCTCAACGCCACGCGCACATATTATCTTTCGCGATCACAACCCCCTTTCCTCACGGACATGGCATTGCGAGTGTACGACAAGATCAAATCGGAGCCCGATGCCCTCGATTTCTTACGGAAGGCAACGCTTGCAGCAATCAAAGAGTACTACAGTGTATGGACAGCAGAGCCACGATATGATCCAGTCACTGGTCTTTCACGATATCGCCCCGAGGGTTTAGGGGTCCCGCCCGAAACCGAAGCAACCCATTTCCTTCATCTTCTCACGCCCTATGCTGAGAAGCATGGTCTTACGTTCGCAGATTTTGTCAAAGCTTACAACGATGGGGTTATCAGCGAGCCTGAACTTGATGAGTATTTCCTGCATGACCGCGCCGTGCGTGAATCCGGTCATGACACGTCATATCGCCTGGAAAAAGTCTGCGCCAATATAGCGACCGTTGACCTCAACTCACTGTTGTACAAATATGAAGTTGATATCTCACGTACCATACGTACCTATTTCCAGGATAAGTTGGAGATACCAAAGGAATTCCGCACTCCGCAAACAGAAAATATCGAATTCGAAACTTCGTCCATTTGGGACCGTCGGGCGAGGAAAAGAAAAGCTACGATGGACAAGCTGCTTTGGGATGAAGAGGCGGGCATATACTTCGACTACGATACGGTCAAACAGAAGCGCTCATCGTATGAAAGTGCAACGACATTCTGGACAATGTGGGCTGGATTAGCAACTCCGGAACAGGCTTCGAAGCTCGTCAAGTACGCACTTCCCAAACTGGAGGAAGCCGGAGGTCTTGCATCCGGTACTGAAAAGTCTCGCGGAGAAATCAGTCTCACGCGCCCTAATCGTCAGTGGGACTATCCTTTTGGATGGGCACCTCAACAGATGCTGGCATGGACAGGTCTTCTGCGTTATGGATACCAGGATGAGGCTGAGAGATTGACGTATAAGTGGTTGTACATGATTACTAAAGCTTTCGTCGATTTCAACGGTATCGTTGTGGAGAAGTACGATGTCACACGCCCGATTGACCCTCACAGAGTTGAGGCCGAATACGGCAACCAGGGCTCAAGCAAGACAGGGTAAGTCCAAATTTTAATGTCTTCATGTTGAGTAGATCGGGAATTTTATTAATCTCTCTTTTTTTTTCCTTCTCCAGGTTCGGCTGGGTCAATGCTAGCTACGTATATGGGCTGGAAATTCTCAGTGCGCATCAGAGACGCGCCTTAGGAGCAGTCACCCCTTATGAGACGTTTAGCAAGGCTATAGATCAACAATTACTTTCCTGAGTTACTCTCGGATAGTTTCAAAACTTGGGCGTCCTTAATTCGACGATGGCTACTTCCTCCGAGCACCAGGTGACATGGTATTGGGGGATCATGAATGTGATTTCTTATTTTTCATGCAGAAAATGTATTTAGATTAATTTAGAGGAACGGATACGATGCACACTCCGATCGTTCTGATAATCTTTTCGTTGGTAGTTGGCTGTATTGTCAAAGCCATAGGGCCACCTACAAGAAGGCAGTTAGCACAAATAGCTTCGCTCTGTGTTTATATAAACCTAGCTAGAATATTCAACGAGGGATATCTACCAAATCTGTACTCTGGGCAAATGAATAAGAATAATGCTTAATGCTTACTAATGGGCCATTATAACTCTCAACATGCACTCTTCCTAGCACGTAAGGCACTTAAGATGATGGATCTTGTGTCGCGTAATAGAAATGCAGGAGATAATACGAGCCGTGACCTCTGTAAAACATTAAGAAGTCAAGGCAATCTAGTGTTATTTGTATAGAAGAGCATGTTTCACCAGCTTGTCTAAAGTGCATAGACGCTGGTATGACATCTACCTCGGCTCAATCCCATGCAGAGCGGCGAGTGTAACTTGGATGTTGCACTGCCGTAGAAATTGAAAAAAGAGGATGTATTCATGTCACGGAAAAATTCATCGAGAAAAGCGTGCATGTATCTAGTACTGTGCTTCAATGTTCCAGCATATTTTTATGTTTGTGTACAGAGTATAGCAAGGGAAACGCTTCTTTGGGAAATCAACCCGAAAAAGTTAGTGGCTCTTCACCCCTGGTAGCTCTCCAGCGGTTAGTCGAATACATAAGCTCATGGCATCCAGAAAGCATATGGCCCCATTTGCTTACAAAGCCTTCCATGACCTCCCATGAGTTTACGTTCCAAGGATCTCCCCAGACAATAAGGCCATTTCTTTCGTCATGGCCAGTCAGCTCGTCATCATACATCGTACCGAGTACATCGTCACAAACCTCGCAGAGATCAAAAGAGCCCCAGAGTCGGATGATGTTGTCACGCAGTGCTGGTAATGGGAGCAAATCTATCCAAGGTTCGTGCCGTACTGAACGCTGTAGTGGGGTGGGCATTAATGTTGGCGGGACTCCTTCAGGGGCATCTAGTGGTGAAGAGCACGCAGCAATATTCGATGTTGGCATTTCGCAGGTGAATAGACGCGGGAGAGACAGTATAGTCATGTTTGTGAGAAGGGCGCGGTAGACATTGAATTGGACCAGTGTTAGAAGGTGATCCACCGATAGAGGAAAGTAAAAGGGATGCAAAGAGGTTGTGGTCACGAATCCGACTTTCCTTTCTCCCGGAAAACCCATCATTGGCCCTTCATTTCTTTGCAAAGATGTAGGCTCTTCAGAAATCTTGCCTTGCCCCTTGCGACGTCCTACCCAGGATAAAGTTCTTAGCTTTCTGCCAAGGACCTGGACCTGACAATTGTTTACTTACGACGGGCTCTCTGATTAAGCCGATTCTGCCTTTTGCGTCGGGCTTGTGCATCCGTAAGACCTGTTCAATAGTCATCATAGACCAATGCCTTATAATTTCCCTATCTGTCAGCCACGCGTTACTCTCTAACTATCCAGGGAAAAGGAGAGTAGTACGTCGCTAAGCGGCCGCATAAGTTGCAGCCTGATGCTGTTGCCCATCGAGAAGTAGTTATGCCAATATATGCTTCCAATAGAATGAACCCCGATTATGCAGCTTGCTGACACGCAATATGAAACGTTGAAATAAAGTAGGATGAGAAGAGTTGCAGTTCGAGCTGATATCAAGATGGTTGGCCACGCTTTGCCATATATGGCTAGGTATCAACGCCAAGACGCCAATTATGCAGCTTGCTGACAGGCTAAACTATATTTGGCTCTAAGAATTATTACCAGATGCGGAATCTATGCACTTGTTCACTCCGCGATCCCCCCTAGTTATCCGCCAGTCATAAAATAGCTGATGAAGAGCAGTAATCATATCAATATGTACCCGCTGTGAGGTCTACACAGATATGCTTGTGGACTAGTTTCTACCAATGACAAGACCAACATCCAGGGATATATAAAACCACATGTTCCCCCCAAAGATTGAGACAGAAGAAATCCCAGAATTTGTCTCTCATCAAGATAAAACACCGGATTCAGTAAAGTCAGCTGAATTGAATGACTTCGGTGCAACGCATCAAATTTCTTGTTTGAACTATCTCTAGCCCCCAACTCTTATACCTACTTCGTACTATGTCCGAAAATCCACTCGTTCTCGTAACTGGCGGATCTGGCTTTCTCGCAATCTGGGTCATTGTCCAACTATTCAACCAGGGCTACCGCGTTCGCACTACAGTGCGTAAACTCACCCGCGTCAACGACATCAAAAAATGCCTCTGCGAAGCCAACATTACCGAGGAGCAGATCTCATCCCTCGAAGTTGTCCAAGCCGATCTTCTCAAAGATGCCGGCTGGGCTGAAGCTGTCAAAGACGTTACTTATGACCTTCACCTTGCATCTCCTTTTCCCGCAGAACTACCAAAGCATGAAGACGATCTCATCAACCCCGCTCGTGATGGTACTATCCGCGTTCTCCGTGCAGCTCGCAATTCTGGATGTGTCACACGGGTGGTTATGACCAGCAGCTTTGCAGCCGTCGGATACGGGCACCCGGAAGAACGCTTTAAACCTGACGCCAGTCCTTTTATTGAAAAGGACTGGACCAATATTAGCTCAGGCAATGTGCCGCCTTATCAAAAATCGAAGACATTGGCCGAGCTTGCCGCATGGGAGTTCATGGAGACTGAATGCATGGACAGCAAGCTCGAGCTCGCGGTTATCAATCCCGTAAGCATATACGGTCCGGCACTTGGCAAAGATGATGGAACAAGCTTGCGGGCTATCGGCGAGCTTTTGGAGGGAAATTCACCGGGTGTTCCTAAACTATGCTGGGGAATTGTTGATGTTCGCGATTGTGCCGATATGCATCTGCGAGCCATGACAAACCCTAGGGCTAAAGACGAGCGGTTTCTGTGCATTGGTGAAGGCAGTCTCTGGATGGAAGAAATATCGAATATCCTGAAGAAGAGTTTGGGCTCGAAAGCGAAGAAGGTGCCGACTACGGTGTTGCCGAACTTCCTGGTTCGCGGGCTTGCGGTCTTTTTGCCTGTTGCTCGGCTTATTTTGACGGACTTGGGCCATAATAAGAGGGTTAGCAATACCAAGGCAAAGGAAATTCTAGGGTGGCAGTGGAAATATACTAGTGAACAGGCGGTTGTTGCGTCGGCTACTAGTATCACTAAATTTGGTGCTGTTAAAGTTTAGTAATGATATGGTTAGACTGATTTTCTTTTTTCCTTTTTTTTGCCTTATTTTTGCAGCTATTTGATAGGTTGTAGTACACATAACGTCGTTGATGGTCCTAGAAAGAAGACGTGCATGGACGTGGAACTCGTTCCAGTGTCTGCCAAAATATCATACTGCCTGGGGGATATCATTAATTATGTCACCATCACATAAACAAAACAACGAACAAATCCGTCAATTCCAAGCATCTATAGTGACTCACTCATTCCGATAATTCTTCGCATTGCCAGCCAAACTCTGGGCCATCCCAAGAGCCGAGGTCGACCGGCTGGTACGGTACGGTACGCGTATTCTACTAGTTCGGAAACCCGAAAACCGGGGTTGACATCTGGGCAAGCCCTCCCCATTTATTGCTTTGTAGTTTGTACTCGGCGCCCATACATGCTGTGTAGATAACTGAGACATGTGTGATTATAGGTATCTCCGTCACAGCATTCAATCCGTTAATTGAGGTAGTCATGCCAAGGTGGTTTTGCAGGCTCACATGCAAAACGAGACCCCCTCGGCCACCATATTTACAGTAAAAACAATACATTACCCGAGACGTTTGTGCACTGAGCATTTATTACCAAGATACAATCGAACCAACTATCAACGACTATATTTTGTTTTCTCTGAAGCTTCAATTTGTACTGCATATACCGTGGAGAATGAAAGCAAGAGGAAATTTGCATACTAGCGTATCATAACAGTATTTCACTTGCAAAGTTCGTGTCCGAAAACATATTAAAAAGACGAGCTCAAACCCTGGTTACATGTGTACGGCACATCCATACATCATATTTGACATCTGATTGGCTGCAGTCTCCATAGCTTCCTTTTTGCCTCCGAGCAGCGGCGGAGGCAACTTACAGCTTGTGATCCAGTGGTTCAGATATTATTGCTCGTCATTTACCCTGAGTCGCTGCTCCTCGTAAATACTGTGTAAATACAGTCGGCGATCTTCTCACTCCAGAGTGCACGTTCCGAAGCTTACCGACAAGGCCGATAACCCTATGAAGCAAAACGCTGGGGAAGCGTCATGGATGCGCGCCAGGCCCAGACATTTCTGTATTCCAAGACTTCTCGGCTCGTGATTTTGGGTTTCGGTTTGGAAGGGATTCTCGGCTATGTATAATACTCCTTTCATCCATTCATTCCCTTTCATAAACAATAGTCACCCCTCTGCCTCGCAGATTCACATAGCTTTCTTTTTGTAAATACCCCATATCGGTAAACTATTTCTTACAATAACTGTCTCTTTTTTGTCTACCCCTGTTTGCTCTCCACCATGGGTGTCCAAGACCTAGAAGCTGAAGACCAGAAGTATCTGGATGAGGTCAATGCAGTTAGAAAATGGTGGAATGATTCGCGATGGAGATACACCAAGCGCCCCTTCACGGCTGAGCAGATTGTCGCAAAGCGTGGAACGCTGAAGATTGAGTATCCGTCGAACACCCAGGCGAAGAAGCTCTGGAAACTGGTCGAGAACAGGTTCAAGGTCAGTGTCATCGGCTAATACCTTTCTATGTCCTCGTGAACCATGTTCACAGTTATGTCAGATTTGCTAAGGTATTGCTTCTTTATTTAACAGACACAAACTGCTAGTTACACGTATGGTTGTCTCGAACCAACAATGCTTACACAGATGATCAAGTATCTCGACACTATCTATGTTTCGGGTTGGCAAAGCTCATCGACCGCGTCTTCGACCGATGAACCCTCTCCTGATCTTGCAGATTATCCTATGGTACGCTTAGGTTTTGCTTTGTTAATGACGATCTGCTATCAATAAAAGACTCTATGTCTAACATGAAGGAATATAGAATACCGTCCCAAACAAGGTCAATCAATTGTTCTTAGCTCAACTTTTCCATGACCGAAAACAGCGAGAGGAGCGTATAACAACTCCGCGAGAAAAGCGCGACAAAGTCCAAAACTTCGATTACCTCCGGCCCATTATCGCTGATGCCGACACCGGCCATGGTGGTCTCACTGCCGTCATGAAGCTTACCAAGCTTTTTGTTGAACGCGGTGCTGCCGGTATACATATTGAAGATCAAGCTCCAGGTACAAAGAAGTGCGGACACATGGCTGGCAAGGTGCTGGTCCCGATCAGCGAACATATCAACCGTCTGGTTGCTATCCGCGCGCAGGCTGACATTATGGGTATGAAAGCGCTGTTATGGTGTCTCTTTCTGCTAAAAACCAAGATAATCTTCTGACTTGGAATAGGTGTTGACCTTCTTGCCATCGCGCGAACCGACTCTGAGGCTGCCACTCTCATAACCTCCACCATTGACTACCGTGACCACGCTTACCTGATTGGGTCTACCAACCCCAACCTACAGCCCCTTAATGATTTGATGGTTGGTGCAGAGCAGGCTGGTAAGGCTGGTGATCAACTTCAGGCCATCGAAGACCAATGGATTGCTCAAGCTGGTCTGAAGAAATTCGATGATGCCGTCATTGATACGATTAACGCAGGCTCTTTTTCCAACAAGAAAGAGCGTATTGATCAATACTTAAAGGCTACCAAGGGTAAGAGCAACAGCGAAGCCCGCGCCACCGCAAAGGGAATTACTGGAGTGGATATCTACTGGGACTGGGATGCTCCTCGAACACGAGAGGGCTTCTATAGGTACCAAGGCGGTACTCAATGTGCTGTCAACCGTGCAGTTGCATACGCGCCTTTTGCCGACTTGATTTGGATGGAAAGCAAGCTTCCAGACTACAATCAAGCAAAGGAATTTGCTGACGGTGTGCATGCAGTATGGCCTGAACAAAAGTAAGTTAGAAAAAAGAATTTTTCAGCCTTGCGCCCCATAATGCTTTCGTAAATACTCGTCATCTTTGCTGACACTCATCAATAATAGGCTGGCCTATAATCTGTCACCATCATTCAACTGGAAGGCAGCCATGTCCCAAGACGACCAAGTTACCTACATTGAACGCCTCGGCAAGCTCGGATACTGCTGGCAATTCATCACGCTGGCCGGATTGCATAGCACAGCTCTGATAACAGACCAATTTGCCTCGGCGTATGCCAAACAGGGAATGCGTGCATACGGAGAACTCGTGCAAGAGCCCGAGATGGAGCGCCAGATTGATATCGTCACTCATCAGAAATGGAGTGGTGCAAACCTCATCGACCACAGCCTTGCTATGGTGACTGGAGGCATTAGCAGTACTGCTGCAATGGGCAAAGGTGTTACAGAAGATCAATTCAAGGGCCATTAATAGAATTCAGGAAGCACTCAATACGTATTTAGGGTTGCATGACATCACGTGATATCGTTGGGCAATGGCCGTTGTTTTCTTTGTTGCCAAATGTACTCTCGGGCTATATGAGCTTTTTATGATGCATATCGATTCCTACTGGTATGCATATACCTACGTACCAGCGACGAGATATTTGCGAGGTCGTGTAAGTCACATGAAGGTATTCGGTGCTTCACCGCTGCCTAGGCAGTTAATACGTAGTTTTCCGACCGGAACCTTTCCGGTGGCGCAGAATCAGGGCATATTTGTGGAGATACTGCAGGATTCGCGTAGTGCACTGCGTAGGCACAAGCTGCAATGCGCAAGTAGGTAGCATGATTTCTTCCTGCCTCAGGCCCTCATCCGAGCATGCCGAGGCTCCCCAGTGATCGCCTAAGCTTAGACTAGTCGGCCCCGCATCCTCCTTGTTTGAACATCAGTCAACACCGCGTCGATGTCGCTATAGGACCATCTATGTCCATGTTTTTGGTCAATCTTCATTCTTATATCCATTGTATATTATCTATACCACCAACTCCTCTTATTATCGTCTTACTTCGATTGTTAACGCAGCTTATATGAGCTATTGATCGACGCTACATAGCTTTCTTTCAGACTAATCCTGAATACCGCGCTGTCGATATGGTCGTCAACAACGAGAGCATAAAAATTCGCCCTCTCGAGTACAGCCCCGTAGAAACGATCCAGCGCAATGTGTCTGTTTTAAAGGACTCTTTCTATAACTCCAAGACCCGACCGGCAGAGTTCCGAAAGCTGCAGTTGCGGAAGCTATACTGGGCGTGAGTGACATTCCGCTTGTACCCTCTTTATACAAGCTGACAATTGTACCCTGTAGCATTCGCGACAATCAGGATCGCATTTTTGAAGCTCTAGCACGCGATATGGGGAGGCCTCAGTATGAGGCCTATGTATCCGAAGTCGGATGGTTACTAGGAGAGATTCTATTCATCCTCAAGAATCTGGACAAGTGGCTCAAAGACGAGCCTGCTCCGGATGTCCCTTTGGTGTACAAAGCACTGGCCCCCAAGATTAGGAAGGATCCCTTGGGAACTGTTTTGGTTATCGGTTCCTGCAACTACCCTTTTCTATTAACCCTAGGGCCTGTGCTTGGTGCCATCGCTGCTGGTAACACCGTTGTTCTGAAACCTAGTGAGCAACCTTCCAATAGTGCTGTGTTGATCCAGGAAATCATCGAGGCTGCCTTGGACCCTTCCTGCTATACCACTGTCCAAGGCGCTATCACTGAGATGCAGGCTCTTTTGGCTGAGAAGTGGGACAAAATCTTTTTCACGGGAAGTCAGACCGTTGGCCGCATTGTAGCCAAGGCCGCTGCACCACACTTGACTCCAGTAGTACTGGAACTTGGAGGGCTGAACCCTGCGATTGTAACTCGAAATGCTGATCTTCGTGTTGTAGCCCGTCGGCTACTCTGGGCCAAAACTCTCAATGGTGGACAGACCTGCACGGCTCAGAACTACATTCTAATCGAGAAATCTATATTGCCTCAATTTGTTGAGGAATTGAAGAGGTGCTACAAGTCTTTCTACCCTGAAGGCAGCAGCAAAGGATCTGGATATACTCGCATCATCAATGAGCGAGCTTTTCAGCGCTTGAAAACAATTCTTGATGATAGTAGGGGCAAAATCATTTTTGGTGGCGCCGTAGATGAAAAGGACCGATATATTGAACAGACTTTTATTCAAGTCGATTCTCTAGAGGATTCACTGATTGTCAATGAGGCCTTCGGTCCTCTTTGTGCTGTTGTCACTGTTGAAGATGTTGACGAGGCTATAGAAACTGCCCGAAAAGTGCAAGATACCACGCTAGGGCTGTCTGTCTTCGGTAGCTCAGAAGAGCATCAGAAGGTGATGGCTGTCTTTCGCTCTGGTAGCGTCTCTCTGAACGATGCCCAGCCACATGTAAACACCCTTCCTTTTGGTGGTGTTGGTGAAAGTGGCACTGGCGCATATCGGGGCCGGTCTAGTTTTGACGTCTTCGTGCATCGCCGACCATACACCAACACCCCGGGATGGATGGACTATTTGCTTGATGGTCGCTATCCTCCATACACGTCTACCAAAATGAGGAAGGTCAATATGGTGATGGGTGGCATTCCGGACTTTGACCGTGACGGCCGCCCAAGTCGATTCGCATGGTTAAAATACATTCTCGGAGGGACATCATGGTCGATGGCCACACGCGTTGCTGTGACTGCAATTGGTGAGTGATTTTTTTCTTGGTTACAATTCCGGTCCTTCGCTATCACTCTTTCTCTTCTTTTGTTGTTGTTTCGAATGTGTTCGAACTATTTCCATATTTCTGTCCCCGCTTCAGACGTTCCTTCATAACATCTAAACATCACCAGATGATCCAGCTCTCGCAAATGGTGACTCGCAAGCCAAATGAATCTACTGGCATAATGTCTCTCAGGGTTGCACATTGCCAAAGATTATTTGACTCGGATCTGGCGATATGACATTTCATACCGTTCATGCAGTTCTTCAGGTTAACATGCTGTCTATTCTGTTACCTACGAAAAAATGCCCCAAAACCAATAATTTATTTCTTTCCTTTTTATTCTGCCTTGCACTCATTTCACAAATTGGAGTCCGTGATATCGACATTTCTGACAAACGGTCTTTTCCTATGGAGTAGTCGTCTACCTTATTAGGGAATATCTCAACCGAGCCTCAAAACTCTGAATACATCTCATACAACCGGGAACGAATGCCTATTTTCTAGGAAGTGATTCAAATTATTGACTAGCAACCATGCATGTATCGGCTGAAATTGAGAGCAGCAAAGGCATGTTTCGGAGAAGCTATGGTAATCTAAACGTATACTAATTGCTACACATGCCCCTTTTTGCTGTTGTTTCCTTTGTGTCTGTGTCTCAATATCTTTTTGAACGATCTGCTATTTTTTCTTTTTTTGGACTGCTGAGTTAATGAGTTTCTCAGATCTACTTATCTAGGTCTATGTATGTTTATATACAAAATCTAATTGCTTGCTGTCCTGGTCTTCTTTGAGAAGAAACTTTCTTCTACCTTGTTACGTACCGATGCCTGGCGTTGATAAAATGCAGTCCTCTCCTCGCCTTCAGAAAAATGGGGAATTTTAATGAAACATGTCAAATTCATCATTTTTGTGACTCCAATGCATTCCGATGCAAGTAAAAAGAAAAGAAGAATGGCTCAGATCAATCAATCATCAAAGAAACCTTGCACGCTCCAATTCGAAAAAGCACTGGGCAGAAAGACCAATATCGAATGAAGAAAATTTAAAATAAATGATCAGAGTTATACAACTGCGCTAATTGTTCATCCTTAAAATCGACGCTCAATACCTTTTCGACTAACACATATATATTTGACGCCCTTGTAAGGTCGTACACCTTCTCCCAACCCTCGACTTTTGCGCGGATCAATGTTTATGCTTTCAACTCGGATGCCGGATGGTAACCAGCCCTTGACGGAAAAGGAGACGGTGGCTGATGTTGGCATTAAAGAATTTCGGATTTGTTCTTTGCGTGATTGTGAAGAGGTGAAAGAAGGATTATTACTATTATTGAGGTTGTTAGTGCTGCTGCTCGCGGTGATGGCGGATGAAGAAGCAGGAGGAGGTGTGGATGTTTGAGATGAAGGTTGCTTGTCAGGTGTTAGGGTTGATTGTCCTTCGACAGCGGCATTGGCTGACGAGGCCTTTTTTGATTTAGTTTTCTTTGTCTTCTTGGTTTTGGTCGACTTCGATTTCCGCTGTTTTGCGGGTTTCCCCCCAGACGTGTATGTTGCAGGCTCATTTTGATATGAATCCGCGTCATAGTATCCCTGTAGTAGCTCCTGGCCCGCCGCTATTTCTGCCTCAGTTTCGTCTAGGTCGTCTTGGTACCCGACAACTGTGCATCGTAATGTTGCTGTCCCAGCTACTGTCCCGGCATCTTTGGTGGCGATGCGCCATTCAAGGTAGCCATCACCTGCTGAATAGTCTGCTTCGCCCCGACTTGGGCGTATATCAGTGACATTGCGCACTGCTTGGGGAATAGGCACGTGGACGATGACTTCTTCAAGAACAGGGGCCGATGGGCTGCTGCTGCTCCCCCCCAAGAAAGAGGGCGTCGAGCTCCCTGACCCATTACGTCCAGTGTTGACGTGCCGTGCGCCTGGAAAGCTTGTGTTTAGTGTCAACCGCACTTCGAATTCTTTCCCGCTTGTCCCCAACGATTTCTCTATGCCCACAAATGCTGGTAGAAACAATTTCTCCATGTGACTCGGCGGCACGTTGATGCTCGGATCCATTGGGAGGAGATCTGCCTCATAGCCGGCGAGTACGAACTTCCCATCTGGAGGCACAAAACTCAGCTCCCCCGGTCGTTCCCTCCAACGTGCAAGACGGACACAAGGATGGAAAACGGGAAGTTGCATTTTCTGATCGATTGCTCGTTGCCCGCCTGGAGTTGTGAGCGTCAATATAAGATCGGGTACACCAGAAACCTTGGCGGTAAATGCTATTGTCCCCGAAGCCAATGCGGATAGTAATCGACCGGAGGGTGCTATAGTCACGGATAGGGTCTCAATTATGTCAACATATATTTCGTTCGAAGTGTGGCGCACTCCGGGCCGCCGCCATGGAATAGCTGGACCTAGAGTCGAGGCATTCCTGGGATTTGGTAATTGCGGTTTTAGTGGATTCAGCGAGGCTGGGCTCGGGGATGCTGTGCTAAAGAAGGGCTTCTATTAGCGAATAGAGTGGGAGTGTGACGTTCGTAGAGTTCTCTCAAACAAACCGTGGTAATCCAACTCCACCTAGAAATTTATCCATCCAACCTGGTGTCTCGACATTTTCTTGCAATGAGTTGATCTCCGTGTTGCTGACCAGCCCAGCATCGCACATCTCCGTCAGCAGCTGTGCCACTACATCGTAATTTGCCTGCAGCTTGGTCGATAGCAGCGGCGCGCCCACAAATTCCTCAAGGATATCCACTACCCTGTGTAGAAACTCGAGCACAAGCAGAGGCTCCGTGTCCACATCGCTTGGAGAAAGAAAAAGCAGATTGGAGTGCGATATTGAAAACACCGTCACGGGAGGGGAGGTCTCTGTGAAATATAGCAATGAGGGACGCGGTGCGGGGTGTGCAAGAAATAGCGAAATGAGAGAGGATGCGGAGGGCGGCCGGGATCGATACACATGTTCTAGAATCGGCACACTGATCAGCAGTTAGCATGAGCAAATATAGGGAATTTTGCGGTGCATGTACTTCTGCTCGTCGTAGATATAGAGCGCTCTGATAGCGCCGTTCATGTTGGCAGTCTTGAGCGTGGATGTAATCGCATGCCTATGACGCTGGCGCGCCGGACGATTTTAAGCACGCCGCACCTAAACGAATTCTGCCGCGGCATGCCGCCGATGTGCTTTTGGGCCAGCAAATACATGAACAACATGAATGAATGACTCTCCAGCATAGGCTAGTTTCCTTGGATTCATTGCTGGTCCTATAGCAAGAAGTGGTAAGCTGTTCCCACAATGCTTATACCTGACCATAGCTCGCCCGTATACTGACTAGAACGAAAAGCAGCTACTCCAGTCGTCCTCCTCATACCCATCATCATTCGATCGTCACGCAGTTTGCGCATTCAATATTCATGAGCCCTTCAAAAGACCGTGCTCCATGGGAGCTGAAACCGGAGGAAGTAGAGAAACAGATGGTAGGACAGAACCAATTCGAGGATTGTTTATCTTGCCGAATTACCGGTATGACATCCATTCTACTTTTCGGTATGGCAATCGCTAATCAATCAATGCATAAGGAACTGCGGCATTTGTTGGACTCGGTGTATACAGCTATTATACAGGAATGCGAAATCTCAAACAGCAAGAACAGGCCATCATGAAGAGCGCTAGCAAATATAAGATGGGCTCAAGGCAGCTGGGCATTGTAACATTGTCTGCGTCCCTCATAGGAGTAGGGCTCTACAGGGCTTTCAATTGACCCGAACATCTGGCCATGATTTACGGATCGTATTATTCGAACTATCTCCTACTCTTTACAAGCCGACCTCATTCGGTTCTAGTGAAGCACATCACTTGTGAGGTTAATGTACATCAGAATATAATAGATAAAGGCATCAAATATCCATGTGTCATATATAGAGTTTAAGTCTAAAAATAGTGAAAAACCGCCAGCTGCGAACACCATGATGCATAAAGACTCCTCATAAATGCTAAGAATATCCGTCCCTTCCTCTGGGTATCAAAATTGCATACCAATCATTCCGTCGTGCAGGTAAACCATTTTTGTTTCAAGTGAATCGCCCTCGTTTGCCGCCTCCAAAAAACTCACGTCCATTCAAGCCCGATAGGTCAAAAAAATCGGGGAATTGAACTTTCCTTTTGCTTCCTAAAACTGTTCCGTTGGCTGATGTTCGTCGATTAGAGCTGCTGAGTCGACCCGAAGTCCGAGCAGTTCGTGGCAACACGGATATACCAACCCCCGTCGTCTCGTCTTGAGAAGTCGGGGTCATAGGCATGTTATCTGACGTTTGCATGTCCACGTCCTGGGGTATGGGAGGAAAGGCAGGTCCGGCGGTAAATGTGAAGACAGGTGCCTTTGGAAACATGTCGGAGGTGGTTGTTGATTGACTCGTCTCGGGCTGTTCTCGACTGACTGGAGGCTGTTGCTCAGAAGAAGTATGATCCGCTCGTAATGAAGTAGACTCCGAATTCCGCCGTGACTGATCATTCTCGCGCGATTGCTCCTTGCGATTAACGGCCGGTGATGAGCTCACCACTGGCTTGTCCTCATCGTCGCTTTCACTGTTTACGGGCACCCCATCCAACCGTTCGGTTGCCCATTGTCGTACCTGCCAACCTTCACCATCCCCTAGTCCGAGATTCTTTCGATCGAGGAACTGTAATAGATCTTGGATGGCTTCTTGGTAGCCTAACTGTTTGGCCTGTGCCTGATCAGTAATGGCACTCTTGTAGAGGTTCGTGACCGATAGGGCTGCGGCTTTGAAAGACTGTAAGAGTTGTTCGGGAGGCTGAGAAAAGGATGTAGAGCTCGGAAGCGATGTATTAAGCGACCTCATTGAATCCATGATGGCCAGTGAGCATGAAATGGTGAAGGGTGGTGAAGGATAGTTGTGTTTCCTCAGTGACAACCAAGGTTGCTATCGAGGGGCCTTTTTTTTGGAGGTCCGAGCTTCGAAGGGGAAGGAGAACCCTATGGAAAGACCCAAGCAAACAAAAGACGAGTATTGAGGGGCCAGAACTGGATTGTGGTTTGCGAAAAAGAACACTGCTGACAAGCTCAAACGTGCCGATATATAGGCCGGACGTCGTTTGAGACTGCAAGAGGGCCAAGATGACCAGCTGGACAGGCAAGATCGCTCGATGTTCGGTGGGAAGCGCAGCAACCGACCCCTTGCCACGTGATTTTCATCCCGCACTGATGGGAACATTACATAATACCGCGCTAGAGACGAACAGTCAATGCCCTCGGCTGCCGGCTGAACAATGTTCCATATGGCTGCTGAATCATCCTCTGCCACCAATCATAGCGCGTCTTTCCACGCGCCTGGGCTTCGAGTTATCCCATTTGCCTGCCCTGCGCGAGTCTGGGAAACCTTGCTTTCACGACTCCGCTGTCACTCACACTCTTCTCAACAGTCAACGCCAGCTCGCACGCTCTATCGTTTGGGTTTAGCATAATAGTGTTAGCTTATTGTGCGATTCTTCTTTGTGACGCTACATAGAACTCGCCGCATACCCTCGAGTTATCGCTGAGGAGACTTCAAGCGTGCTTCGAGCATCTCGATTGTTTGCACTCACGGCGCAATCACCGCCACCATGGCGCTCTCGCGCAACTTGCCAGAGTCAGATGCTTCATCTCAGGTGGATACACCGATGACGGACGGCAACGAATCTGTTGCACGTATTCCAGTCGATGAACCAGACTACCCTATGGCGGTATGTTCAATCTCTGTCCCAAGTGTAGGGCTTATCCTCTAACGTTATTTTATTTTTTAGGATTATCAAGAGACGCCGGAATACACGGTACGATGCGGCTGAATACTGTTGTCGTCAAATAACAAGCAGGATTTCTACTTACTTCGACGTTCTCTAGGATTCCGATACCAACCCCAACACAACGGCAAGCAGCATTGCAGGCGATGCAGCTCATACTGATGGACGCAAGAGGAGGTCCGAAGCTTTTCAACTCAGGAAAAGTGTACTAGGCAAACAGCACGGACGATTGGACGAGTCAAAGGTTCGTCCACCCGCAAGGCGAGTATCAGTGGTCAAAACAAAGACTAATTTTGTTTCGGCATTCTAGGAAGACGATTCCATCCGAAGATTTCGTTATCTCTTGGGACTAACAGACTTATTCCGTCATTTCATCGAGACAAACCCGAATCCTCGTATCAAAGAAATATTAGCAGAGATTGACCGGCTAAACGCAGATGAGTCTGCCAAAGACAAGGGATCTTCGCGCAAAGGCGGTGCCAGTGGAGAGAGAAGACGCCGGACTGAGAAGGAAGAGGACGCCGAACTCCTAAAAGACGAGAAAAAGGGCGGGGAGACGGCCACCATCTTCCGCGAGTCGCCGTCTTTCGTTAATGGAGAGATGCGCGACTATCAGATAGCTGGGTTGAACTGGTTGGTATCACTCCATGAAAATGGTATCTCGGGTATTCTTGCAGATGAAATGGGTCTTGGAAAAACCTTGCAGACCATTTCTTTTCTCGGATACTTGCGACACGTCTGCGGCATCACCGGCCCGCATCTAGTTGCAGTACCGAAATCTACTCTGGATAACTGGAAGAGAGAATTTGCGAAGTGGACGCCAGAGGTCAACGTTATCGTATTACAAGGTAGTAAAGAAGAGCGACACGCTTTGATCACAGAGCGTCTTGAAAGGGAGGATTTCGATGTCTGCATCACAAGCTACGAAATGATTCTACGCGAGAAGTCTCACTTGAAGAAATTTCCTTGGGAATATATCATTATCGATGAAGCGCATCGCATCAAGAACGAGGAGTCGTCGCTTGCTCAAATCATACGTGTCTTCAGCTCCCGCAATCGACTATTGATCACGGGTACACCCCTACAAAACAATTTGCATGAACTCTGGGCTCTTCTCAACTTTTTGCTGCCGGATGTCTTTGGTGATTCCGAGGCTTTTGATCAGTGGTTTTCCAATCAAGAATCCGATCAGGACACAGTTGTGCAACAATTGCACCGTGTTCTGCGACCTTTCCTCTTACGCAGGGTCAAAAGCGATGTCGAGAAAAGTCTGTTGCCCAAGAAAGAAATTAATTTGTATGTCGGCATGTCGGAGATGCAAGTTAAATGGTATCAAAAAATTCTTGAAAAGGACATTGATGCCGTCAACGGTGCTGCTGGCAAGCGGGAGTCAAAGACTCGATTGCTTAACATTGTGATGCAGCTACGCAAGTGTTGTAACCATCCTTATCTCTTCGAAGGCGCTGAGCCCGGTCCGCCCTATACTACAGATGAACACCTTGTGGATAATGCGGGAAAAATGATCGTTTTAGACAAGATTCTGAACCGCATGAAGAAACAAGGAAGCCGTGTACTTATTTTCTCCCAGATGAGCCGTGTGCTTGACATTCTTGAAGATTACTGTGTTTTCCGAGACCACAAGTACTGTCGTATTGACGGTTCGACAGCACACGAGGACCGTATCGCCGCGATCGACGATTATAACAAAGAAGGTTCTGATAAATTCATTTTCCTGCTTACCACACGTGCTGGTGGACTTGGTATCAACCTTACTACTGCGGATATTGTTGTGCTTTTCGACAGTGACTGGAATCCTCAAGCTGATCTACAAGCTATGGATCGCGCTCATCGTATCGGTCAGAAGAAGCAAGTCGTTGTGTTCAGATTCGTTACCGAAAACGCAATTGAGGAAAAGGTTCTTGAGCGAGCCGCGCAGAAACTACGACTGGACCAGCTTGTCATTCAGCAAGGCCGTGCCCAACAGCAAGCCAAGAACGCAGCGTCCAAAGACGAATTATTGGGCATGATACAGCATGGTGCTGCTGACGTTTTCAAGGGCAACGGTGGCATGATTGCTGGTGGAAACGAGATCACCGATGATGATATTGATGCAATTTTGCGAAAAGGCGAAGAGCGTACCGCAGAGCTCAATAAAAAATATGAGAAACTCGGAATCGATGATCTCCAGAAATTCACCTCGGATAATGCGTACGAATGGAATGGCGAGGATTTCACGAACCGCAAGAAAGATATCGGTATCAGTTGGATCAACCCCGCCAAGCGAGAGCGCAAGGAGCAATTCTACTCGATCGATAAATATTATCGTCAAGCTCTGGCTACTGGCGGTCGCACTGCTGATCCAAAACCAAAGGTACCCCGTGCTCCCAAGCAAGTCGCGGTTCACGATTGGCAATTCTTCCCTCCACGACTGCATGAGCTACAAGAAAAAGAAACTGCTTACTTCCATAAAGAAATTGGTTATAAGGCAGTCCTTGCGGAGGGGACCGATGAAGACTTGAGTGAACGTGAAGCTAATCGAGATCTCGAACAACAAGAGATTGACAACGCCGTGCCTCTGACTGAAGAAGAGCAGGCCGAAAAGGCTCAGCTCTCTGAATTGGGATTTTCTAATTGGAATCGACGGGACTTCCAGCAATTTGTCAATGGGTCCGCTAAATTCGGTCGAACAGACTATGATGGGATTGCGACTGAAGTTGATAGCAAGACTCCTCAAGAAGTAAAGGAGTATGCTAAAGTATTCTGGGAGCGCTACGACGAGATCAATGATTATCCTAAGTACGTCCGCGTTATTGAGCAGGGCGAAGAAAAGGTACGAAAGAACACACACCAGCGAAAGATGCTTCGGAAGAAGTTGGACATGTACCGTGTGCCACTTCAGCAGTTGAAGATCAATTATACGGTATCCACTACCAATAAGAAAGTTTATTCCGAAGAGGAAGATCGGTTCCTGCTGGTAATGCTTGATAAATTGGGCAAGGAGGAGGATAGCGAAGGCATCCAGCTTTTTGAAAGGATGCGCGAGGAAATTCGCGAAAGCCCTCTGTTCCGATTTGATTGGTTTTTCTTGAGCCGGACGCCAGTTGAGCTCAGTCGTCGGTGTACTACATTGCTCAACACCATAGCCAGGGAATTCGAGCCTGAGACAAAGGCTAATGGGGATACCGGCAAAGGCCGCGGCCGTGAGCGTGGAGACGAGGATGCTGAAGAGGACGAGGAAGAGGCGCCTGCCAAGAAGAAATCAAAGAATGGAGTGGTGGTAAGCTTTGCTACAAATTTTGTTTTCTATTCGTCTTTTCGCTGACCATTCGCTCTTCATTTAGAACAAAAAGCTCAAAGGTGTCAAGGCTGGTAGCAAGGGGACGTCAGCAAACACATCAAGAGCGGCCAGTGTATCGTCCAATGTGCAGTCGAGCAAATCAAAAGGCAAGAAGAAATAAGGATTGCGTCAAGTGCACTTTTTGAGAGCTATATTTGCATTACATGTTTCGCGATTCAAACCGATCACCAGTGCAATGACATTGGTTGACTGTTGTTATACAAAACAACACTTAATTTACAATGGCGTTTGAGTATGTGGAGGCAGGTGTTTCATGTAGGCTGCGTGTGGGTTGCAGTATTTGTCCATTGGTGATTGGTGACAAGATTATTATTGAGTTAAAACTAGATTTACAGCTATTTTAATCAGAAGAGACCGACTCTTTCAAGCGTAAAGCTCCTCAGTTGGGGTATAGAGCAGTCAATCGACACGCAGTTGTTCCAAGGTTGGGAAAGCATCTGACAGACCTGCAGACAGACTGGACGGCCACGTAAAAACAAGAATGGAAGTTGCACGAATCAAAACGAATGATGGAAGTCAATCACGATAATCGCTGAAGGGGAGCTACTCGCCACAATCGAGATTGTCAGTCACAGCCACAGCATACAGACTCGTTTGGTTGGCTGCTAAAATAAGGGTGCGGCAGGCGGCCCGCTTGGCTCGGAAGGTTATTTGTATCTGCGACTTTGTGTAGCAGCGCAGTCCCTTTGTAGTTATGATAGTATTGCACCATATGGCGGAATCTGCATGTGCTCAAGAATATGCGCAGAATTCGATACAGGAGACACAGAGGCCAGTTCGTCTCTTCCCAAACAGAAACAAGCCAAGTAACGTGCAGATAAGCATGCCGCGGTGGTCCATGCTAGCGCACGCTTGATTCCGTCATTGCTGCAAGCCAAGTGACTCGCAAAGCCACAGGGCGCCCTCATTTGCAGAACTACTACGGCGTAGATACTAGCAGGAGACTTTGATGGACTAGGTCTTCGTGCTAACTACTGGATAGGAGGCCCTCTGCATGATCTGCACGCATGCCACAATGTAGCGTCTACAACTACGGCACTTGGCGGTATCATTGGCCTACGCTGACGTCGTCACTTGCGCCTTTGGCGTTACACATCTCCAGGGGCAGTCTCGCAACTGATAAGCTTCTCCTGTGGCGGGCTGAGGGAACGACGACGAATGGGAACTCTTCGCAATCATACGACGGCAGATCATACTAGCCAAACTAGGCAGTCAGCCATCGCACCTTCCCTTGAGTCAGGCTCGCTCATATAAACCTCACTCCTTCCCTCCTTCTCTTCCTTCTCCTCTTTCTTCCTCCCAGCTTTCTTATTCTCCTTCTCGCCTCACTTGCACTACTCCTTGTGCATCCTACATTCGCCTAATCAGACACGCTGCTGTTCTCTCACCCCATTAACGATCCACACGCCCAGCATGGCTAGCAAGATCAAGGTCATCTTGAACCCCAAGTACCAGCGCAATGGCACCAAGTCCTACGTGCACGCGCTACGCAAGTTCGGCTTTGATCCTACCCTGGAGGGCCCCTACTTTCATGTCAACCGCGTCAGTCAGCGAGGCAAGTTCACTACTGCCGAAAAGAGACCCATCGGTGGTCGCACCCGCATCCATCGCGTCTTGCAGAAGAAAACAGACGGCCAGACCGGTGATGTCCCCGCCGACGATATCCAGAATGACACCGAGTACCTCGCTCAGGTCGGCATCGGCACGCCTGCTCAGACTCTGAGCCTGGATTTCGACTCTGGTTCCTCTGACCTTTGGGTACGCATCCTTCTGCTATATTGTCATATTTGCGAACTGCTAGACTGACTTCGCCACTTCTAGGTATGGTCCACTGAGCTGCCATCCAGCGTTCAATCCTCTGGATCTAGCCACACCATTTTTGACCCTTCTAAGTCGAGCACTTGGAAGGTCTCTTCCGGGGATACTTGGAAAATCTCCTACGGAGACGGCTCCTCTGCCTCTGGTAATGTTGGCACTGATGTTCTCGATCTGGGCGGCCTGAAGATCCAGAAACAAGCCATTGAACTAGCCAAGGAACTGTCGTCGGAATTCCAACAGTCAGAAGGAGACGGTCTGCTGGGCCTCGCATGGGACAGCATCAACACCGTCCAGCCTTCAGCAGTTAAAACGCCAGTGGATAACCTTATTTCCCAGAACTTGATCCCCACGGATGCACAGCTGTTTACTGCTCACTTGGGTGAAGCAGCCATTAAGAATGACAACTCTTTCTACACCTTTGGTTACATTGACCAGGATACTGTCAATGCCACAGGCGGCCAAATCACCTACGCAGCTGTCGACAATAGCCAGGGCTTCTGGACCTTCGATTCGACTTCCGCTACAGTGAATGGCAAGACTATCACCCGCTCTGGCAACACCGCTATTGCTGACACGGGAACTACTCTTGCTCTCGTTGACGACGATACCGTGAAGGCGATCTACGATGCTATCCCGAACTCCAAGTACGACAGTTCCCAGCAAGGTTATGTGTTCCCTACAAACACACCCGCCGACCAGCTTCCTACTGTCACTTTTGCGGTTGGTGACACCCAAATTGCAATTCAGAAATCGGCTTTCAGCTTTGCCGATGCTGGCTCCGGATACACCTATGGTGGCATCCAGTCTCGCGGCTCAAACCCCTTCGATATTCTAGGCGACACCTTCTTGAAGGGAGTTTACGCGGTATGTTTTACCACTACTTCTTCTATTGTATAGACTTAACATGTGCTGACAATACACCAGGTTTTCGACGTGGGCAATGTGCGATTTGGCGCTGTTGCACGGCCTGAAACGACCTCGTCTTCTTCTTCTTAGACGAAGGAGATCAACGAAGATGGTCTTCACTTCTCTGGATGGAGGATGCTCATACATGATTTTTTCAGAATGTGTTGATCGGCAGTTTGATTGCCTGAATTTGCACTTCGTGCTACTATTACTTCTAGAAAGAATTAGTAGTGGTGATTTAATGAAGCATGCGAAGTCTCTCGGCTAGGTTATTTATTATTAATAATATTATGATGATGATGATGATGATGATGATGTAGATATCCACATGGTTGCGATGATAATTGCCTTTGTAGAATTTTCTAATGTACAGGTCATCCAGTCATATACCTGGCTAATATAATATAGTACAAGTATGAATCGAGGATTCAGTTGAAATCGAAAGACCTCGGTGGTGGTGATTGACCGTCGCTCTGTTTTTCAGCGACGTCCTGAGTAGGTTCTGATATCGGCGGAAGATTCGCTACTCGAAGAGGGACGCGCATCAACATCTCCATTAGCAACGCCGCTGCGACGCTGACATTCAGACTATCAACTCGTGCGGCATCATTTATGGCTATCTCAGGACGGACCCGAGCACCGGGAATAGATATAAACCCATCCGCTTGGGCTTTGATGCGAGGCAACAGTCCCGTCCCTTCACTTCCAAGCATAAGAACAGTTGGCGCCGACGTCAAGATACCGGCGCCACTAGAACCGTCTTCAACTACATTGTTGTTTGTCGCGGCCAAATCGGCGATATTGGCGGGGGAGTCGGCGGCATAGAAACGCCAACCGTTCTGGCGCGAACGACGGATGAAATCTATCTCCTTGCCGGCTTTGAGTATCGTCATATTCTCCGCGGCGCCGGCACTAGCTTTTATTGTGACTGGTGTAAGGGGCGCGGAGTTGCGACCTGTTATTATGAGTGCGTCAACGCCCAGGTAGTAGGCAGACCGGATGATGGCACCCATGTTTCCAGGGTCGAGAATGCCATCGAGGAGGAGGACGAACGGAAAGCGTTTTTGTTCAGCTTCATCGTACCGCGGCACGCGTGCGACCTGGTTGCTTGAGCCATTTACAGCAGCCTGTTCCACAGACTGTGGAGCCAGACTGACATTGAAATAGGGTTCTGTTGGGAGAGAGACCGGATCCAAACAAGCAACTGGCAGTTGCGGTAAGGGTGATGCTTCGAGAACGCAGCCGTTGTGTGGGCGGCCGGCGCTCATTTTATCCAAGAGCTTGTCCCAACCTGCAAACGCAATCTTTACTCGGATCTCTTTAGCTAGTGCGAGTTTGCGCAAGGCGACTTTCTCCGGGCTCAAAACCTCGTCGTCGGCGGACTGGTATATATATAGCACATACAACGTGCGGCGCGTGCATCGCAGAGCAGCTTCAACGGCTGATAGTCCGTATATGAATTCCGACGCAGGTGTTGTGTATGGGATTGACGATGGTACAAGGACGTGTGATCTCACTCGTTCCGGCACTTCGTCGGTGATAACATGGCGTTTACTGCCTCGTTTCTTTTTTGGGTGGCCGGAGCCCTTTCCACGTTTCTTAGACCTTTTGGCCCTGCTATCAAACCAGTGAGGTTCACTGTCAACGTCGCCTGGACCTTTGGTTTCGGCGTGGCGGTCGGAGAATGTAATAGATGAGTCTGTTCTGAGAGAAGACGCCGGCGATCGCCTGTTATCTAGTAAACGGCGCGTATCCCTATTCTCTCTTGATGCTTCAGCAGCAGCAGATTTCCTCGCTGCACGTCCGATAGCTGATGTTAGTGACGCATAGCGGGTGCCTGGTATAGACTTTTTGAGGCATGCGACTTCGATGACCGGGTGGTATAATTTCAGGGAGTTCCGACTGAGAGGGATCATCCTCAATATTGCCTTGAAAAGGGTATAAGGAAGGTAAACAAGACAAAAACAATTGGCATATAGGTCGACTCTGGCTCGCGCTGTGATTGTTTATTATCAGAATCAGAATGGCAGGTGGGAAAAATAATCATGGACGATAGGAGAGATCCATATGTAGATTCTTCAACCAATCGGGGAGGAGGTTGATAACCGGATTAATGATATTCCGAAGCGCGTCTCCGCGTTAATTGATGATTCCTTTTACCTTATATGTTATTCCACGGCTTTGGGGATTCCTTGGACGTCTCTCACCACAGCACAGGGTCAACATACGCTTTCAATCGATCCATTACTTCTATCTCTACCCTACGCGAAACTCGCATCCTGTCCCGTCAAATGCCTCGGCCGTGATTGAGCGCAGAAAATGCCATCTTCCGAAAAGGACTTCTCGGCATCTGAGGATGCTGACGAACTGGTCGCCGACTTATTGCAACAATTCTCCGCCGTTGAAGACCGGGGAATCGGGTCGGTTATACGTACAGCTCGGCCGTCAGTCAGCAAAAGCTCGGCGCCGCGAGCCATTACTGTCACATCCTCACGGTCAGGCTCGGCGGCTGAAGTGACGCCAGTCAAAGCTGACTCTGTGCCCAAGAGACCTCGGACTTTCGTCATTGAAGTCCCCCCGCTACCAAAGGATGCAGACAAATATGAATTTTTACCCGGTCATTCGACGGTTCGCACCATTTGGGAGCAAAAGCGCGTTGGTGAAAACCTGCTTTACATGGTAGAGCTTCAGAGCTCGGACAAGGAGTGGGTAAGTTTTGGATTGCATTGAATACTTCAATTTTATATAGTCAAGCTTTAGTTGGTTCTAACTAGATAATTGCTCAGCTCAAAGATTCATATTTGAACACCTTGGAAAATGGCCGTGAAGCTCTGGCTAGTTTCAAGAGGGATGGACCGCCAAAAGCCGGGAAGGCGCGTGACTCCATTGCGGAAAACGATGGATTACAGGATTACGAAGAATCGGCCATCTCAGAAAATACTGATTCCTCGGATGGCGAGCAAATCATAGTAGCCAGCACCGCGAAGCGCCCCCCTGGACGTCCCGGACGCGGACGGCCTAGACGTCGTAGCACTCCTGAAGAAATCGATGACTCGGATAGCCCCCCAGCACGACGATCAACACGCAGAATCAGTAAACCCATTACCAATCGCTCCGCATTTTGGTCCGACGAAGGATTATCAAGTGATGATGTCCTTGGCAGCTCTTCCGCAAGAGCATCTAAGAGGCGGCGATCAGGCAGACAAGCTGCTCAACGGACTTCTGGACGCATACGACAACATCAATTTGAGGATGACAGCGATTCGAATTCGCATTCGCGCAGGCGCGGTGTGCGATCGTCAACCAGGACCACCAAACACAAGTCCAATCGGTTCAAAGAGAGACTCGAGGACGACATCTCTGAGGTCGAAGATGCTGGCACAGAGAAGAAGTTTTCAGGGGCAAAGGAGAAGTTTTATAGACTTCCCAGTGACGACCCCTTTAGGCTTCGGCATCGTCAAGTATGTGATAGTTGCGATATCCATGGGGACGATCGCGAGAAAGGTCCGCTCGTTTTCTGTCAAAGTTGCACAAACGCCTATCATACAGTTTGTTTGGGACCTCGGAGCCAGCGGGAACATCTTGTGACCAAGGTCGGCTGGGACGAGTTCGTCTTACAGTGCCGTCGCTGTCTTGGTACTGCTCTAAAGAAGGATGCGACTGCACCTCACCTGGGCCATTGCTCTTCATGCAATGAGGAGAATCCACCCTCGAAACCATTTCGACAGCGACTAAGTCCTCGACAAGAACAGCAACAGCGAGAGCAGAACGATGGACTTGACCCGATTACCAAAGTGGATCAATCTCTACTAAATAGCCCTGATCATGTGATGTTTCGATGTGTCAACTGCCAGAGAGCCTTCCATCCCAAACATCTTCCAGCTAAATCCGACTCGAACGCGAACGATGTTGAGACTTCCGAGCCGGATTCCGACCTTGCAAGCGTACGACTAAAAGAGTATTCCAGGAGGTGGCAGTGCCACACATGCATCTCAGTTCCAGGGGAGATAGAGGGCCTGGTTGGCTGGCGACCTGTTGATGCGGACGCGTACATTCCTGGATATACCGTTGACACCTTAAAAGAAATTGAAAAGGAGTATTTGGTCAAATGGAAACGGAAGTCTTATTATCGCACCACGTGGATGCAGGGGTCTTGGGTTTGGGGAGCCGCATCACCTTTAATGCGTAAAGCGTTCTTTAAATCCCCCAAAGGCATCAAACCACAGATGACGTCTGAAGATGCTATCCCGGAAGACTACCTGAGGGTTGATATAGTATTCGACGTCAAGTACACAAACATAGTTAGTACGCAATCAAGGGAAATAGATATGGCCAGGGTGAAAGACGTCAAGGAAGCCTATGTCAAGTTTAAAGGTTTGCTATACGAGGACGCTGTCTGGGAGACCGTACCGTCGCCAAATGAAACGGGACGTTGGGATGATTTCAAAGCTGCATATGAAGATTGGGTCCTGAAAGACTATGTCAAGGTTCCCAGGGCTTCTTCCCTTAAACAGCATCTCAAAACCGTCCGTGAACAAGACTTCCAGTCAACTTTGGTGAAAAAGTCCCAGCCAAGTTGTTTGACTGGTGGGAAAATCATGGACTACCAGCTCGACGGTCTCAATTGGCTGTACTACAAATGGTATCAAGAACAAAATGCCATCCTTGCTGATGAGATGGGACTTGGCAAAACCATTCAGGTCATCTCTTTCCTTTCCACTCTGATCGAAGATCACCGATGCTGGCCTTTTCTGGTTGTCGTACCGAATGCAACCTGTCCAAATTGGCGTCGAGAAATCAAAAAATGGGCACCATCCCTTCGCGTTGTTACATTCTATGGCAGTTCCGTAGCACGGAAGCTTGCGCACGACTATGAAATGTTTCCCAAAAATGCACGTGATCTCAGAGCTCATATCATAGTGGCATCTTATGAATCCATGGTCGAGGATAAAGCTCGCAGGGTTTTAGCGGGCATTCCTTGGGCAGGTCTCGTTGTGGATGAAGGCCAAAGATTGAAAAATGACAGAAACCTTCTTTATCAGTCCTTGTCCAGCATTGATTTCCCATTCAGAGTCCTCTTAACTGGGACGCCGCTGCAAAATAACATACGTGAGTTGTTTAATCTCATTCAGTTCTGCGACCCGAAGAGGAGGGCAATAGATCTCGAAGAGACATACGAGACTTTGACGAAAGAAAATATTCCGGAGTTACATGACATGATCCGGCCCTTTTTCCTACGCCGTACAAAGGCACAGGTTCTTACATTCCTTCCACCAATGGCGCAGATCATCATTCCCATCTCGATGTCTGTTGTTCAGAAGAAACTCTACAAATCGATACTAGCGAAAAATAGCAAGTTGATCAAGTCAATCTTTCAAAGCAACCAGGATCCGAGTGCCAAACAGAATGAACGTCACAGTCTCAGCAATATTTTGATGCAGTTACGAAAATGCTTGTGCCATCCATTTGTATATAGCAGGCAGATTGAAGAGCGCACTACGAATGCTACCCTTTCTCATAGGAATCTTGTGGAGGCATCTGGGAAACTTCAACTGCTTGAGCTACTGTTGCCGAAACTCAAGGAACGAGGCCACCGAGTTCTGTTATTCAGTCAGTTCTTGGATAATCTAGACATTGTTGAGGATTTTCTTGACGGCCTTGGCTTGCTTTATTCCCGTCTTGACGGCTCCATGGGCGCCCATGAAAAGCAAAAGAGGATTGACGAGTTTAATGAGCCCAATTCGAAGCTTTTCGCGTTTCTTCTATCGACGAGGTCAGGAGGTGTTGGGATCAATCTTGCGACAGCTGACACCGTGATCATTATGGATCCTGATTTCAACCCACATCAAGATATCCAAGCATTGTCCCGTGCTCACCGAATTGGTCAGAAGAAGAAAGTACTTGTCTTTCAGTTGATGACGCGCGAAAGTGCCGAAGAGAAGATCATGCAGATAGGCAAGAAGAAAATGGCTCTAGACCACGTCCTTATTGAGAAAATGGATGCGGATGACGACGGCGGCGTAGACTTAGAATCAATCCTGCGACACGGCGCGGAAGCACTTTTCGAAGATGACAACACCGGCGATGTTCACTATGATGCGGACTCCGTCGAAAAGCTGCTTGACCGCAGCCAAGCAGAAAACACGCAAGTCGGCAATGACGAGTCTGCTGAGTCGCAGTTCAGTTTTGCTCGCGTGTGGGCGAATGAAAACGACGCGCTGGAGGATCGACTGGGTGATTCTGACGCGCCGACGCCAGTGAACAACACTTTGTGGGAAAAAATTCTTGCGGAGCGGCAAAAGGCTGCGGATGAGGAGGCATTAGCCAACGCACAAGCACTTGGAAGGGGGAAACGGAAGAGAACTGTCGTGGATTACTCGGCTAAAGATGCCAAAGATGAGCAAGAATCACCAGGAGGTTCTAAACGAGCAAAGGTGCAGCTTGATAGCGACGCCGAATTCAATGCCAAGGAGGATTCTGAGAGCGATGGCGGCGAGTCCCTGCTTGAATACTCGCCCGTAAAGAAGGTTAAAGGTAAAGATCGCCAAAAAATTCCCATGGCGAATTGACTATTGGGCTAACTTTCTATTTTCTCCATAGCTCGACCCTTCAAACGTGTAGATCCTAGCGCAGTCATACATATGGACGGTTCGAATGATTCTATGGACCGGTCCCTTCCGTGCATTGCCTGCAATCAGATGCATCCTGTTGGATACTGCCCACTCAAGCTGGCTGGAGTAGAGCATTGCGGTCTCTGCGGGATCGCTCATCTGGGCTATCAGCGAGTCTGTCCTCACCTCAATTCGGAAGAGCAGATTCTAGCAATGCTACAGTCACTACGGCAAAGCACGGAACCGAGGTGGCTGGTGGATTCGGCCAGAAGTTACCTCTACGGCGTTAAAGGCGATCTCGTGAAAAGAAAAAAGGCAGAGAACAGACAGAGAGATTTGTCCGGGCCTCCCACTCATCATCCTACTCAGTACCAGCCTCCTGGCGGGCCGATTCCTCATACAGCATACCCGCCATCCTCATCCATGAGTGGCTACCACAGTCCATACACTGCTTCTAATGCTGTTGGACTCAGACCATATTCCCAGCCTCCTCGTTACGACTCCATGCGGGCTCCACCTCCAGCGTGAGCTTGCCCCACGTGTTAGGCAGGATATTAGTTTGTCATAGTCATTAATTCAAGTCTCACATGATTGCGATATGTGTCAAAAATCATTGGCGAAAAGGCTTGCGGGTTAGGATCTGATTTGGCGGATCCATAGGTTCATGTCCTATGTGCTGTAATGTTTTCTCTCTTTTGCATGGATAGATGATGTATGAGGTAGGCTTTTGTCAATCAGTAGGTAATATCGAATGCCATGTTCAAAGAGGTTTCACCTTGTCCGTCGTCAGACAATAAAACTTTCCAGCAAGCAAGCTGTATGCCAGTTGTTTTTGTGATAAAAATATGACATGCAGCTTGGTGGAGCTTCCCGCCGAGCCGCATTCATTTATATTATCGGTAGTGATAGCGTTAGGCTGCAGGACTGCATAGAAACGCTATCCATGGGCATAAATGCTTGGCGTCGACCTTATTTCAATCGCATCAAACCGAACTACCAGTAGGTCATGCCGCAACAGCTGTACATTGTATGCCTTCATTGAGTGATCTTTTTTTTTTCTTTTATTTTCTCTTTACTTTCATTTCTAAACATCTTCTTCACCACACCAGTAAGAGTGCTCGATACCTATCCAGCTGCATCCATGGATGGATGCAGGTTCAAAACAACCAGGTACTCCATTGTCAAAGAAGGCTTCAAATGATTGCGAGAATCCCCTTACTACGGTACATTAACCTGGTTACAACGAAGAAAGAATATTAGTTCAGCTAGTTCTTGAAACGACACCGGCGTATCCACGCTTAGCCTTAGACGTACTTTTCGAATGCCACGAGCAATCCAACCGGCGAGAATATCTAGACAATGAATGGATATGACCAATTACCCCTAACCCAGCCCCTATCTATCTACGTGGGGAAAGCGTGTTGATTCTGGGCTCGCAAGGTGTCGGTCATTGCAGGACATGAGTTCTGGGCTGAGAGCCAGACCTCTCTGTCCTTCAGGATGAGACAGACGACGACCAAAACCAAGTCAGTCTGGCTCTCTCTCGTCTCCAGCCCCTTCAATTCAGACAAAAGGCGTGCCGTTTGCTACCAGATATCGGGGCCGTATCCGAATAAACAATAAGAATCTTAGCGGGCTTCCCCGGCGTACAGCGAAGCAACCGGCCAACCAGCCAACCAACGGCGGCGGTCATGCGAGCAGACAAAGAACATCCAAGTGTCTCACGTCGTGAAGAAAGCATCGTCAGGGAGGCTGGGCAGGGACTGAGGGGGTTCTTGTCGTTGTTCTCGCGCTGAGGAGAGCCGCGTCCCAATCGGGCAACCGTCATCATCCAGACCTTTTCTGGTTGCGCCAATCAAAGCGCCGCTGTGCAGCTGGCGAATTTGACATGGCATTGTCCTTCTTTGTTGTCAGTCTGACAGGTTGCCCCGCCCTCATGTCACCTTTCTGTCTCGCGGTGTCTCTCCTCCTCCCCCTCGTCCCCAGCCGCCTTCTTTCTCCTCGTATAAATCCATGTCTTTTTTCTCTTCTCGCCCTCCACCAAGCTTCACATCTCTTCTCTCCGTCCAATTTGAAGTGCTTCTTTACAGTATACCATTTCCTCCTTCTTTCCCTGCAGGTCTCGCTATTCAAAAGCTATACAGAGCGTCAAGTGCCCAAGACCCAAGCTCTTATAGGCAAGGACAGCCTCTTGGGATTCGGCATCTCCTTTGCCATCTTCTCACTGTCGTGTCGGAAAGAATATCTCTTTCAGAGTCTTTTATCGGTCATCTTTTATCCTTCGTTCCCCTGTTCCTCCGTTCCCTGGCGGATTATTTCCTCTCGTTGCTTCCTCTCAATTGTCCTCACTTGCAACTCACCATGTCTGAGATTCGCCCTCAGTTTTTCCTCGTTCGCGAGAACAACGCCATTACTCCTCTCATTGCCCTCGATGAGCTGCCGAATGAGATCAGCATCCACGGCGTGCCACGCAACATGAACGTGTCCGACACTCGCGGCATGACCAGCGTCGGCACTGTCCCTACCCGTGGCGTTTACTACATCGTCGACGGCCATCATTGCAGCGTTGGCATTACCGAGGCCAAGAATGACTCCTTCGCTCTCACCACCTTCTATGGTAAGGGCAAGGGCCGTCATTACGACAAGAAGGTTGGTTTCTTGTGTCTTCTTTCCCGGGCCCCTGAAATTGGAATCGGCCTCAACTAATGAATCTGGTTGACCAGCATGATGGCAGCACCGACAAGCCAGCGAAAGTCTACTGCTCGTACTGGATCCGCACTGGCGAGTGTGACTTTGAGCAGCAGGGTAAGCTTCTTTTTTGCTCTTGTTGCTATTATATATCACTAACCTGGTCCTTTCTAGGCTGCCGCTACAAGCACATTATGCCAACCGATATTGAGACCCTGGAGACCATCGGGCTGCAGGAGATCCCAGCTTGGTATCGTGACAAGCACAATATCCCCAGTCTTCGCTCTCGTTCGCGTGTTGGTGCTAGCTACACTCAGAACAACTGGCGCAAGCGTGCAGCTCCGATGAAAGCCATCGAGTACGGCCATGGCAAGGAGAAGAGCGATGTCAGGAGCATCAAGACAATCTCTGAGACCAAGACTATTACCCCCGAGACCCCCTCCATGGCCGGGGAAACCGTCACTGAAGCCCAGGTCGTTGATGATCCTCTCGACATGGTGTACAGAGCTGGTCTCAACACCACCACCACCACCACCACCACCACCAAGAACAACACTACCAATGGCTCAAGTCCTGTCACCCCGCCAAGCATCAGCCGCTTCATTGACTTTGAACGCATTGGAAACGCATCGTTCTCCTATAAGTATGATGCACCTCAGACCCCGACTGGCAGCGGCCCCGTTCGTTCTCGCCGTCTCTTTGAATCTCAAGGTCCTAACCATGAATATAGTATGTCTCCAGAAACTATCCCTTCAATGACTGATACAGTGAACTCATTCTCGCCGTTCAGCTCCCTGGGAGGAACCCCGCGGTCGACTACGATTCAACCGCCAGTGACCAACAACAAGACCAAACGGTACAGTGTGGCCGAAGAGGACATCAATGCTGCCGATGACACCCTTGACAACCTCAGCAATGAACTCGCCAAGTTCGACAATTCCGAGCCCAAATACCGTAGCATCAGCGAGTTGCTTGATTCTTCCATCCCTGAGGATCGCTATGGGAACTTGATCTTGTTCTGAGCGAACCTTGTCTTTCTTGATCGTGGGCGTCGTTGAGCGATCCTCTCGCTCTCTTTTCTCTCCCTCCCCGTTATTTACGACCGAGACAGTCAGTCAGTTTGGTAATAAGTTTAATAAGTTCGGATTTTATTTCATTTTCATCTTTTTTCTCATTTCATTTCATTTCCCCATTTCTTATTTCTTGATTATCGACGCAATTTCTTCTCTTTCTTCTTTCTTTTTACTTTTCGAGAATTCAACTCTCTGAGAAAACTGCCCCTTGGCTCTATCAGGCATATATCTTCTCGTTTCATCTTTGGGCTCCAAGGTCTGTCTGTCCGCCCCAAGAAAGGATTCAGATGGGTATGGTATTTTTTCTTTCTCTTTCTCTTCTTTTCTTTTCTTTCTTAATTTATAGTTATTGTTCTTGCTTAGTTCTCTCCTTTTCGATGGTGAATGGTCTCGAGTTGGGTGGCAGAAGTCATCTTATTGTTTTAATTCGCCGCTTGTGTCTAAAAAAGTGAAAAATCTACCAGATGAGGTGATTATCGATAATTTGGAAAGCTATTGAGGAAATATAAGCTTCATTCCTTATGAATTGGGTTGTTCAATAGAAAAAGCCATAGGATTGATTTTGCGTAGCGTACGTACATCTTCTATTGTCTTGGGGTTTCTACGACAAAAGTTTGGACCTGATAGAACATTCAAATTTGATATTGCGTGGTGGTGTATGGTACAGAGCGAAATATACATGGCTTGTGCTATGAGAACTGGTGTTGATGAGTTCAATCTATCTTCTCAATCGAGCGCCAGCTTTCCCCCTGCCTACTGTCTCCTTGACAGCGGCCTTATCATCTGCAGCACGCAGCTGAGGATGTTGACTCAGTTCTGGTAAAGTGCGAATAGCGTGCAGCACAGACTCCTTGCCATCCACTACGGCATTACGCTCTTGCTCAATGCGAAGTCGGTTTTCGCGATCAGTGGTGATTTGTCGCAGACGACTTTCCGACATTTTCCACGACTCCGGGAAGATATATTTGGGTTTTGGTTTGTGGTGTCGAAGGTCAAGAGGCACGTCTGCAAAGGAGTCGCCTTCCTTGGCCTCCTTGATGAGATTCTTGACGGTATCGCCGAGATAGCGTTTGTTCTGAGCCCGAGCGGAGAACTTCTCGCATGACATGCGCACAATGTCTGTATCGGGGTTATAGCGAGGTCCGACGAGTTTAAGGAATGTCTGGCGCTGCGCTTCGGTCAAATGTTTCGGTACCAGGTCCTTGGAGCTGAGTTCCATAACAACCTTGTGTTCGGCCGGGTGTTGTTCACCCATATACGTTGTGTATCGAAACCGGAGAATCTGGTTCTCTTTGGGCAGTTCAAACGGCTTGGTAAGGTCTGTAACGAGTCTAGTCAGTAAAAGAAGAAGTGTTTAACAGCGATAGAAAATTTTCGTCTCAACATACTGCTCAACAAGGGCATATCCCATGCTGCAATACGAGAATACTCTCGAACCTCACGGTGTAGTTCCAGCTCAGCGTGGGCCATGGATGTGATTTCATCATCGTTGAAAGTGTCATCTCCATCCTCCGCATTGGAGAATTCATCGTCTTCTTCCTCCGCCCAGAAACCACGATTTCTCTCTCTGACATCCTCAAATCGCATTTTCGATTCCTTCTCAATGCGAGCCGCTGATTGTTCGATTAGGTCGATATCTTCTTTTTGTCGACGCGGGTCTCTCCACATCTCGACAAACCGTCTGTTTTCGGCGTCGAATACTGCCCGTTCTTCAGGGGACATCAATTCATACATGGACTTCTCGGCTTCCGTGAAATTGTCGACTGAGTAGTCAGGCAAATCCTCGATGATCTCATACGGAGCATTCTTTGATTCCGCGTCCGAACTTTTAGGGAGATAGGTAAAGGGCGATGGTGTGAACCATCGTGTCTGTTGGACACGAATTGGCGCGGGCTGTGTGTGGAAAACTTGCGAAGAGGCCAGGTGCTGTCTCCGAGAAAACATATGGGCCGCACGGCTCAGCGCTCTCGCTGTTCCGGCCATGGTGAGGGTGCACTGGTTCAATGGAATGGCAATTGTCACGGCGTAGTTGCTTCTCGACGCTGCCGACAATTATTTCTGGCGCATCGGGGAAGATTGAGGGACTAGCCTTGTGTGGTTAGCGTGCTGGACCATTAGAGGTTAGTGGCATTTATTCGCTGGATAATTTCACGTGATGTCATTGGCTTGCCGAGTTGCTTTCCTTCTCAGCAACCAACCAACAAGGAACGACAGCCGGAACTGCAGACAAGGTATTTGTAATTTGCAGATATTTCTTGAAACATGTCTTGATTATTCTATTGATTCTTGCTCTCGCGACTATGGCCAACAAACCTCAGAAGGTGTGCTTTGTGACTATTGGCGCTACAGCTCCGTTCGATACCTTGCTTTCGAATGTTTTAGACAGCGATTTCCTCGAGGCGCTCAAAACTCATGAATATACAAAACTTCTGATCCAGTACGGAAAAGAGGGCCGTGCTATCTTTGACACATTCATCCAAAACGCTCCCCCCGAAAGCCCTGCACGCTATGGTCTTGTTATCCAAGGGTTCGGCTTTAGACAGGAAGGACTTCTCCAGGAGATGCGCTCAACCCAATCAAATAAAGCTCTGGATACTGTGGAGGGAATGATTCTCAGCCATGCGGGTAAGCTTTCCTGGGTGGACAGTTGAGTGCGAGGCTCTCAAAGTTGAATCTGTTTAAAAAAAAGGATCGGGCTCGATCATGGAAGCCTTGCGCATCGGCGTGCCTCTCGTCGTGGTACCAAATCCAGCACTCCAAGGCAACCACCAAGAAGAGCTTGCCAAAGAGATTGAGAATAACGGCTGGGCCGTTGCCGGACAGTTAAAGTGAGTAGTGTCTTTGATTAGACTACTGATCTATACCTGACAAGCCTAGCCGTCTCGCGGATTCCGTTCAGAAAGCAGAGAGCCTTCGCAGCCTCTCACGAATTTGGCCGCCAAAGGACAGTGTCGGATCGAGACATAAAAGGGGCTTGGCCGGCGTTGTGGAAGACGAGTTGGGTTTCTTGGATTAGATTAGATCACCGATCGGGCAATGATGCCCTAATCCCGAGAATCGAGGCTTTCTCCTGCACAAAGGAAGACTGCTCGATATACTTCAGCAAAGGACACCATTATAACTTGGCCAGGTCCTGCAGAGAAGCTGGAACCGTGGGCTTATCTGGACGGAACGCAACGCGACAATAACGTCACCTATTTCTAAGATTAGTTTCGTTGCTTTGGCTGTATATTACCAGTAGACATAGTAGTATCATTATTATCACAATTAGTGCAACAATGAGCGATGGTTTGAGAATGATCGAAGAAAAGGAAGTGCAGACATAGCAGCGAGTCGATCGATTGTTCTGGTTGGCCCAAGCTCCTTTTTGATCGAGAGCGCGCGGACAGGGGAAACCGACAGCCAACTTCTCCGCAGAGCGAATAAATCAATCAACCTCCTCCTGGCCCTGCTCACGGCAAGCAGTAGCGTTGACACGTTCATTCACGACTTTTCTATTTCTTCAAATTCTCTTCTCTTATAGATTAACCAAGGCCCTCAATTCGATTGTGCTACGCCGCGACGCATTCGAATCGCGAATTGACACGTCCGCCCGCGCATCTTTGTTTTGACATCTCGTTTACATACACACCGTCGATAGCACCAAAATGACAGATGCAAGTCTGCATAACGTTCCTATTGTCATAGATAATGGCAGCGGCACGATACGAGCAGGATTCGCCGGTGAAGAAATCCCATCATGCTATTTCCCTTCGTTTGTTGGCCGACCAAAGCACCCGCGGGTCATGGCTGGTGGGCTAGAGGGCGACGTTTTTATTGGGCAGAAAGCACAGGACTTGCGAGGGCTTTTGAAGATTCGGTATCCCTTGGAACATGGCATCGTTACCGACTGGGACGACATGGAGAAAATTTGGCACCACGTGTATGAGAGCGAATTGAAGACACTCCCTGAAGAGCATCCCGTGCTCCTGACCGAGCCGCCGCTGAACCCAAGGAAGAATCGAGATATCGCCGCGCAGATTATGTTCGAAACGTTTAACATCCCGGCTCTGTATACGTCGATTCAGGCCGTTCTTTCCCTTTATGCTTCAGGCCGAACGACGGGTGTGGTATTGGACTCCGGTGATGGGGTGTCCCACGCTGTGCCGGTATATGAAGGGTTTGCAGTTCCAAACAGCATTCGAAGAATCGATGTTGCTGGCCGGGATGTCACAGAACAAATGCAATTGTTATTGCGGAAGAATGGCTACGTCCTCCACACGAGTGCCGAGAAGGAAGTCGTACGTATGATCAAGGAGAAAGTATGCTACGTGTCGTTGGATCCGAAAAGGGAAGAGAAAGAATGGATAAATAGTTATCACAAATCCGAGTCAAAAACCATCGAATACGTCCTGCCTGATGGACATAAGATGAAGGTAAGAGAGTGGCTGCAAGGTTGCGAGGCCCGAAAGCCATTCTTTACTAACTTCAAGGATTAGATTGGCCAAGAACGTTACCGCGCCCCTGAGATTTTGTTCGATCCTGAGATTATCGGCATGGAATACCCTGGAGTTCACCAAATTGTACAGGACGCCATCACACGGACCGACCTCGACCTCCGCAAAGCCCTTTATCTCAACATTGTCTTATCAGGTGGCACGACACTGTGCAAGAACTTCCCAGACCGGTTAATGCGGGAGATCAAGAGACTTGCTGTGGAAGATATGAAAATCCGTATTTCTGCGCCTGCTGAGCGTAAATACACGACGTGGATCGGAGGAGGCATCTTAGCGGGTTTGAGCACATTCCGAAAGGTAACAATTCTCTTTTCTAAAATTTGTTTCTCGTTTCCTACAATCAGCGCACTAACCCCCGATATCGTAGATGTGGGTAAGCGCCGATGAATGGCACGAAGATCCTGAAATCATACATCGCAAGTTCGCTTAAGGGGTTTGAGACGGAGACTTGAAGCCAAGCAGTATAGAAAAGCGATATGTGATCGCGAGGCATCGGACAGGTGGCAGTGGAATTACACAGCTTTTGATTGAGAGGGAGTGCTGCGGAGGCTCCTTTTGATACCCCATTGTTTTTTCTTGCATTTGGTGTGTGAGGTTCGTCTTACATGGGAAATCTTGTACTATAAATATTTTTTTTTTGGGTTGAATGAAAATACATGAAAGCATTGAAATTTGCCGTGATAGGGCAGTATATATATATATATATATATGTGCATGCAGGGATATGTGCGGGGAGAGTGGTTATTTACCCGACGTGCCGTGAACTACCTACATACAATCAATCATATTTCCGGCACAGTGACTTGCTCAGATATATTATACATCTCAAGGCACAGACCGATCTATAACTTGTCTAAAAATAAATATGGCAGCACCATCTTATGACCTGCGAATCGCCATTGTTGGGTCTGGGACTATCGGGCTCTCGTTTGCAGCACTGCATCTGTCTCATCCGAGCAAGAGAATCCAAGTCATCATTTATGACCCACGCCCTGACATAGAGGAATACGTTAGGACTACGTTACCAGGTAAACGACCTCTTGATACACTACTTCTCGATGTACTAAAAAGCTAGTAAGGATACCTAAGCGCAGAAATTGCCCCTCTCGGGGAATTGCTAGAATCGAAGCAGCTTCTCCTATCCTCAACACTCTCATCGGCATTGGATTCGGCCGACATAGTGCAAGAGCAAGGACCCGAGAATGTGGCTTTTAAACAAGGGTTATGGATACAGATTGAAAAGACCGCCCCTTCAACAGCATTGTTCTGGTCCAGCACTTCTGGCATCCCGGCATCTGTCCAGGGCCTTAACATGCAAGAGCCTTCACGACTACTTGTGGTCCATCCCTTCAATCCACCGCACATAATGCCGGTCTTGGAGATTGTGCCTCCTCGCAACGATGCTGGAGACTCGGATTCAATTCATCCGTCGAAGCAATATATAGACAGAACCATGGAATACTGGAACACACTACACAGATCGCCAGTCGTTCTTAAGGAGGAAGTCACTGGTTTCGTGGCAAATCGTCTATCGTTTGCCCTTTTTCGCGAAGCCATACATCTTGTAAACTCGGGTGTCGTTACAGCTGCCGAAGTCGATCGTATTGTTGAAGAAAGCATGGGGCCACGCTGGGCTGTCAAGGGACCGTTTTGGAGCTATCATGCTGGTGGAGGGAAGGAAAAGGGGCTCAAGGGGTTTCTAGAGAAGATCGGGGACACGGTGCAGGCTTGCTGGGACGACGCTGGGACACCATCACTTGGACGAGATGGAAACATGTCCTCTTCTTGGGAGGATGCGTTATGTGGGCAGGTGGAGGATGCTTATGGGATGCTGGAAGACAAAGACCTCAGAGATAGAGATGAAAAGACGAGACAGGTCCTCTTGATTACTAGGAGATCAGATTAATTCACGGGCAGGTTGAACGTCTATACCGTAGTATCTATTTTGTGTGCCAATAAAAAGCTCTAAACTGAAAAAGAATTGTGTCCCTGAGGATCTCGCATCTTGCCTAATGAGGAAGGGGGGGGGGCGCGCCTTCCCTCTGCGTTTGCAGGTCACCTGGGTAACTCTTTTCTTCACCCTCTTCCTCTTCCTCTTCCCTCTTTCTCTTTCTCTCTCGTGTCTGCCACCTCGGGTCAGAATTTGCCTCTATTCCCTGAAGGTCATCTCTATCCATTGGTAGTCCGTGCAGAGCTTCAAAGAATCTGTTGCTGCCAGCACATGCACGGTAGGTTTCTCATGGATTTTGTCCTCAACATGTGCCTTCGTGGACGATGGTCAGCAAAATGCCACAACAAACTGGCCCATCCAGTCCAGAAATTGAATCTACTGTCCCGGCCTTTGCTGCCTCTCCACCTGCTTGCCTTCTCATTTCTCAACTTCTTTAGCTTCTGTGCCCCAGCCTTCGAGTTCTTTTCTGTATAGTTCACACTCAACTATAGCTGACCTTTTAATGCAACCTACAGATGGCTGACTGGTACACTGAGCCAACCAATGGAGCCGGAGACAGCTATGATTGGGGTGCTCCTGCTCCATCTCAGGATTTCGCCCCGTTGAAGGAACAGAATGATTTCGCTGATGATACTGGTGATACCGATGGCCCTCGTGACGACACTTGCCGCAAGTGAGTTTCCAAAGGATATTGATGACTTGTGCTTACCTCTATTGAACAGCTGTGGCCAATCTGGACACTTTGCTCGCGAATGCCCAGAGCCACGTCGAGGCGGCGGCGGCGGCAGCGGCGCCTGTTTCAACTGCGGTGAAGAAGGCCACAACAAAGCCGACTGCCCTCACCCTCGCGTTTTCAAGGGTACTTGCCGAATTTGCAACGAAGAGGGTCATCCCGCAGCCGAATGTCCCCAGAAACCTGCTGACGTGTGTAAAAATTGCCGCAAAGAGGGTGAGCAGTCTATTAAAACCTATGCGAGTGACTGACGCTAATCATGCATTATACCAGGCCACAAGACGTCTGAATGCAAGGACAATCGTCAGTTTGACTTGAACGACATTCCTGACGAGACTCCTGAGCAAGCTTGGGCCAATCTCAAGAAGGCCGATGCTAAGCGAGATCTTGAAGACTTCCGTGATGTCTGTCCTACCTCTGGGTCTGTTGAATTGGACGTGGCTGATAATTACCATCAGGCCTTCAAAGTGTACACCAAGGCGGAACCAACCAAGACCTTCGTTGACATTGAGAAGAAATTGCGTGCTGAAGAAGCCGGTGTCTACCTAATTGCACTTGTAAGTTACAGGTAAAACAGGCTGCGCGCAACACGCAAGACTCACTCACTGTTGTAGGAAAAGCAAATGGAAAATTTCAAACCATTCACACTGATCGATCTCCAAGGACGCCTGAACTGCACCTACGTTGTCAAGCTCTTTTTCAGTGCTGAGCCACGTCGTGCGAATCTCAAGGACCGCTGGCCAGCTACGCCAGAGGAGAATCTCGAACGCCTTGCTGATGCCGGCTTCGAGCATGATCGAATGGTCCCCATATGCAGCAATTGCGGAGGTAAGCAGTAAATCACGTTGGCTAAAGGGAAAGGTACTAATGTGATCTTTTTCCCCCCCCGTAGAGCTTGGTCATGGTTCGAAGGGATGCCAACAGGAGCGTGTAGTTCCGGAGCGTGTCGAAATCAAGTGCGTCAACTGCTCCGAAGTCGGGCATCGTGCTCGCGACTGTACGCAGGAACGGGTCAACAAATTCGCTTGCCGCAATTGTGGTGGCTCTGGCCACAAAGCTGCTGACTGCACGGAGCCTCCGAGCTTGGCCAATGTCGAATGTCGTCGCTGCAATGAAAAGGGCCATTTCGCCAAGGACTGCCCATCTGCCCCGAAATTCGTCAAGACATGCCGTAAGTGTGGTGCAGAGGACCATATGTCACGGGTATGCGACCAGCCGCAGAATATGGACCTTATTACCTGCAACAACTGCGATGAGACGGGTCACTATGGCCGCGACTGCCCCAAGCCTCGGGACTGGTCTCGAGTAAAGTGCACCAATTGCGGCGAAATGGGACATTCTTTCAGAAAATGCCCGGAGCCAGCGGCAGATGAAGCAGGCCGCGAAGAAGAAATGGCAGGAGGTGAAATGCCACCCATTGAAGCTAGTGGCGGTTGGGCTACTGGTGAAGACACTCAGGGTGCATTGGGTTGGTAGATGTGCTACAGTGGAGGTCAGGAAGAGCTAGGTTTTCTTTTCTTCTCTCTTCCAACGGCGGTTATTTGAGGGACTTCTCTTGAATCTCTCCTCTATTTCATTTCTATGTCGGATACTTTTAGGGCATAGCTGCTGAGATGTACCTAATTTTTAGGGGATGGTTCAAGGACATAATGATGTAGTGTAGAAACCACCCCC